ATTTTACAACATTTTTTTAAATAAAAAAGATGCTTTTTTCTAATAAATTATTCTGTTCTATTAGCTATTTATCGTGATTCTTTCTTATTCGAAACTAACATATGACTATGATGATCGAAGCAAAATCTCGTGCTTGTTGAATTAACATATTCCTATGGATATAAATAAAAATGATAATCAATAAGGTGTAGAAGTAATTTAAAAGCAAACAATTTTCAGAGAAAAGAGGGTCTTCTCTAACTTGTCGTTTGCTTCGTTTATTTATCGGAATGAAATTCAGCTCGTTTGAGAAAAAAAAAGTGGCTTTTTTTTCTCTTTTGCAATCGTATAAGTCTTCTTCGTTGAATTGTTGAGAAAATTATCAATAAAACGGCTTTTGTAGGAGATGTTTTCTCTTATAATTCTATGTATGCTTATTTACTATCTCGAAAAAAACTTATGAAATATGCTGAACATTTCTTTTTTTTGGCATATCTTCTCAAATTTGATGTGTTTTATGAACTTGTTCTTCTAAGGATTTTTGTAGGTCGATTAAAACGTAGCAAATTTTTAATATAGTAATATTTCATAAAACTGTTAAAATTTACCTCTAGTGCAAATATTTATGCGATGTGTTTTCTTTTTTCGGAAATATATTCAATAAAATTTCAATGAATAGAAGATTTTATTTAAAAAAGAAAAAAAACATGCAAATCGTTGAAATTGTTGTAGCGCTGATCACACTTTTTTCTGGATTAGACTCATAGTAAATCTTTGATTATTAATTGACATACATAAGAAGAATTGAACTTATAATTTAAACAAAAAAACAACAAGTTCTTAACGGGCATTTTAAGAAAATACTATAACATCTTTCTTTTTGACCGTAGAAAAAGATAAAATATAGTTTACCCAAAGTAACTGTCTGGCTATAATTATTTTTTTTTCATTAAAAAGTTAATAATATTCATATAGGTATTCAGCAACAGAAAGTGTTTTTTTTTCTCTCGTTTCACAAGGTTTTTTTTTTATTAAATTGTCATAAACAAAAGAAAAATTTCTCATGGAATTGAACATTACTAATATTTCATCTGTTTCAAATGAATTTATCAATAATCGATCAATGTTTTCATTAGAAAAAAGAATCAAATTCTTTCTATTTCTTATTTTACAAGCACCTTCTCTTGGTTGTACTATTCTTATGTAAGTAAAAAAAAATAAATTATAATATCTAAATTGAACAATGTATATATATATGTTCTATAGTTTATATCATTTTAATTGGAGTCGTATACAAAGTCAAATCTATGGTCTTCTTCTTATTGTTAATGCATTTATTATAGGTGTTGAACTTCCATTTACACTTTATTTTCTTTATGAAGGAAATATATATACAAAAAAAATTTGTACACCTTGGATTACTCTCAATTATTCACTTTCACTTTTAAGTATTTATCTAATGGCATGGACATCAATTGAACGTTATTTATTTATTTATTATGAAAGAATTATCATGCGACACAATATGTTACTTCATTATATACCTAATGCATTGATTATCTTTTATTGTCCATTCTTTTATATAGGTGTTGTGGTAATTCATACATGTCAACCAGTTTATGATATAAACCAATATCTTTGCGGTGGTGCATGTTATCAGTTTGAATGTACTCTAGGTTTATTTGATTGGATTGGCAATGGAATATGTATAGTAATGATTACTTTTATACTCACTATTTTATTGATTATACGTCATGTTTTAACACGTCATCGAATGAAAAGTATTATTACTATAGCTAGACGTAAAGAATGGGTAAGAAATTGAAATTTTTTTTTTCGTAATAGATAGACTTGTATCATATCAAATATAAAATAATATTTCGAATAAATTTTCTACTTTCGAGATGTTTTTTTTTTATTGTAGCGCCGTTCATTAAAATTAAGTTTACAACTTCTTGCCATTGCTATGCCTTATATGATTGCTTGGATTCCTTATTCAGTAATTGTACTTGTTCAAATTTTTCATTATAATGAACAACTTGCTTATATTCTTTCAACATATATTGGTTTTTTACCTTATCTACAAGCATTTTTGTTACCACATATTTGTCTTTTATTTATACCTGAAATTAAAAAAAAAATTTTTACGATATTAAATATACCATGTTGTCGACAACGTCGAATTGAAGCTATTGCATAAAAATAAAAAATATAATAATATTTCGATTAAGATGAACAAATTATTATTCATTCTTTCTATTTATGATCTATTATACTTTTAATTTAAGATTATCAAACAATAATTGATTGAAAAATTTCATAGAAATTGTAAATTCTTCAAGATTTCATATGTATTGCCCTTATAAAAAAGGATATATTTTCTTTTTGTATATCGATATTAAATTGTTAGTTTTCTCTAAATGATTTCCATAAAAAATTTCATATGTACAAATCATATGAAACAAAGTTTTCATATTAGGATGTGACAAGATTCTGTTTATCATTGCTATTTAAATCTAGATTCAACGATTAAGAATGCTAATTGATTACATAAAAAAAAAGAGAAAGTATACTGTTGACTATAATAAATTATTATTTATGACTAATACTTTGAATTTATGATAATTTTATTTTATCGATAACTGAATGTAAATAAATAATCAGATCTTACTCTGAAGAATACTTTCGAATACGATAATAATTTAGGCATATAACATTAAGAATGCACTTTTGAAATTTACAAGCTAGAGATCTGCGTATCAACAAAGAATGGTAACAAGGCTGGAATTGATGTGAGAGTAAAAACAAGGTCTATAGTATTGTTTTGACTTAGAATCATGGAAAAGATAATAGAACAATTAGATATGACAGTTTATAATATACTTCGTTGAAAATGTTTTTTTACATTATCGACTTCATTTATCTTTCAATTTTTTTCTAATAAGAAAAATAAATGAAATATTTTTTTTGTTTTGATATAGATATATGTCTTAAATCGGTTATTTATTCTGTATAGATATTTCCTTTATAATTAAGAAAAAGTACTTTATTAATCTTTGCTTTCCGAGATCTAACAAATTAATATATATTATAAAAATAAATTCGTGTATGACGAATCTAATTAATATATGATGAAACGATACTTCTGATTCAGAGCGAAAATCTAACTAACAACAACAACAACAATCGTAAATAATTAGTCTGTTTAACAATGCGGAATACAATAGAATGAGAATAAGGGCATTAAAAAATGTCAGGGTCAGGTTATCGTTGGCTTTGAACAGCATCTATACTTTTTTTGACAAATAATCATGTGAAATGAACGTTGAAATAAAAAGAAAAAAGGTTTGTAATCGAAAATCTTATCACTTCTTATAATTGATCAAATTAAATTTTTTATTTAATTCATATATTTAATCCAAATATGTGAACATTGATGATAATCTTATATAATAGTTTTTCTAAAAATTGTATAGCCATTAAGAAAAAATTTATTTATCAAATTGATAACAAGTTGTTATTTGTAATATTCAATCTATTAACTATTTCTTTTTTTAATTATAATGCATTTACTTGTCAATATTGTAATATCATTTATTTACTTTGTATTTTTGGATAAATGATTGTTGTTTTGTCTTTGAATTTTTAATAGTCTAAAACTTAAAATAGAGTCGTGTATATACATTCAACTAAGAAAAAAAAAATACAAACATGAATACATCTATAAATCATCCTTTATTTCGTAAACGAGATTAAAATATGATACGAATGCTTTTAATCGAAGTATCGCTTTATATATATATATATAGTATATATAATAACTATTATACAGATAAAAGTTATGTCCACATATAAAATAATTGCTCAATGAATAGTAAAAAGTTATGATATGACGACACAATGCATTATTAACTTTTTTATTTTATCTTACTAATAGTATCCCATTAAAGATTTATATGACAATATCAAATATTATTTTGACTAAAAATTTGATTATAAAATGATATAAGTTTTATGAAATGTAAATCAATTTGAATGAATAAAATATACTAAATTATCAAAATAATATTTATTGATGTTTATATCCAACAGATATATATTTCGCATATAGAACAAAAAAAAAGAACACAGATAAGAACTGCGTAAACACATCATATGAATACTCATCGACTGCATCTGACAGTAATCAGAGAAATCTTTCTCATCAAGAAGAACTTAAATATCATGCTTGTTACAGTAAAAAATTCATTTAATTTTTCACTAAGATTAATTTTCTATCAGGACAATTTAAATTAAAAATAAGAAGACAAAAAAAATAAATAATATTTTCATAAAGACTAAGTCGACCAACAATTAAATCTATTCTCATTCATAAATGCACATTCTTTTTAAACAAATTTTCAACAAATACAGTTTAATAGCTAGTATGATGAAGGCACGATCATCAGATGAACATATAAAAGAAGAATAACGAACGCGCATACGATGCATGTCTCTGATACATAAATAGTTTTTGTTAATTACATAGGACTTTTTTCATAGCTGAGGAAAACAAAATCCGTTTCGATAGTTTGTAAGATAAATAAGTTGATTATATTCAAATTGAATTTTAATGAAACTCTTACAAAATTTATGCTGAGAAACTTAGTATTGTGAATATGTTGTACGATGGGTATGATATGCGAAATATGGAGACTTTTATTTTGTTTCATATGACTCAATATTTATTCTTTGCCTTCTCTACGATAAGTGTTTAGAAACAATTGTATTTATACAAATGATGTTTCCCTAGAAATTTTCTATGTTTGAAACTATTGATACTAAACTTTAGAATATTTTTACTAGTAAAGGTTTTTACTTTTTTTTTTTTTGTTTTTTATATGATGACATTGAAATAGGTTTTTTTTTTTTCTACTCAAAAATCATAATTACACGATTAATTATCAACGAATGAAAAAGTTACTCTTTTGTGTATCTCAAATATAATAAAACTATGTACGTCAATCTAATATAATAATTGTATCATAGAAAAGAAAAATCACGCACAATTATTCAAAAATGACGTTTATTATCGTCTTTTATCGTATTAGAATATATTGTTAAGATAATAATAATATGTATTTATTTTAATGGATTAATGTTTGTATATGCGTTGTGTTTAGTTAAGTGTCATGCTTTTATATATCTTTTGATTTTAGATTGTTTAAAAAAGTTATAAATATCATCATATCTTATTTAAATATTAATCATACATTACTAATAATCTGTGAAATACCCATGTATTTTATCTTTCTCAAAATTTATATTAGTTTCTAAATATAATTTTTTTTGTGTCTCTCAGTCACCTCCCATCAATGCTATTCAAGTTCATTAGATCATTTATCTATGACAATATGTCATGTTTTTTTGACTTAATTTTAATTCTATATACCATTTATATATTTAATTATTATAGTTCTCTAATAACTTTTCTTATGATATGTAAATTATAATGTTCTTTTCATCGTATACTTTATCAAGTCATGCTTTTATTTATGATACTTACATATATTGTGCATTCTATGTTATGAAATACTTATCATTGTTTTCGATCTTTCAGTCAATATTGAATAAATATTCGAATTAAACTACATCTCAACTGAATTTTGCTCACTTTGTTACTTAAGACTATACTATATTTTGGTTTTCTTTTTCCAATAATTGATACATAATGAGAAAATATAGACTTCACTGTATCGCTTGATTTATTAATCTTGAATAACATATGAAATTCCGAAAATAAAAACTTGAGTTACTCTTACGGTACATTGAAGTCAAGTAAATATTTCATTAATAAATAGAATTCTACACAAGAGATTTCTGAAAGTCTTGGTTATTTACTGTACAAAATGATATATGTTTTTAGAATTTATTTGATGTGCTCGCTCAAGGCCTATCCTTATATCCGTGAGAAGAAGTCGAAATTAACCTTGACACTGATGAAGATCTTTAACACATTATAGGAAAAAGAACATAAAAAGTTTTTTTTTTTTGTTCTTAGAAGTTGATGTGTTATTCATAATTAATATATTAATTATCGAAAATAAAAAATCAATGTGCAATAGTCTAAAACAAAAAAAAAACTGATGAAAGATGTAATTGAAATGCATTGAAAACGGGCGTGTTATACTCCGTTACGTTTGAATATACATATTTATTCCAGTTTTATAAACTCATTTCTTCAGCATTTGGTGAAGTCAATAACTAGTCATTTGATTTTCAAGTCTTTTTTTTTCAAACGATACATAATTGTATTCAATCATTGAACATATTATTAAAACTGAATATTAAATTTAAACATGATCAAGATATTATAAACAATATGACTAATATTTTTCATCTATGTAATATGATTATTTTTAATTTATTTCATTTAAAATGAATACAAAATTACCAAACAACAGATGTCAACATTTTTCGAAAAAATCACTCAACCAAAACGAATTTATATATTAGTTTTCTTTCGAATATAATTATTTCTATCATAGAACATACAAAGAAAAAAATAATAATTTTTAAATAAATATATAGTTAAATTAATAAATAAATGTTTTTCTTTTTGTTTTGTTTTGTTTTTTTTTATGAAATAATAATTTTATAATTGAATTAATTAAATAATTATTTAACTAAAATATATTTTAATTTTCTTTTATTCTATTTTGATGACTAATTATAAATAAAATGATGCTAACAAAAAAAAAAAAACGTGATTTAGTAGTGAATCGATCTTTTCATTACATATATTTTTGTCTTATATCATTTATATCTATTGCTATTATGATGATATATATTCATCAAGGTTTCAACGTTTTTCTTTTTCGTTCTTCTTCATTTTCTTTTTCTCACCTGTGCTCAACAGACATACATACATACACAATCGAAATATTACATACTATAATTCGTATGATGAAGCGTGTATATCGTTGTTATAGATTTTAAAAGAAAAAAAAAAACACCAAAGAAGCATAATAAAATATATTTCAATGAGTTTAATTGTACCACAAACATTTACATTTGATTCACAACATAATAGTGATAATGGAGATAAATCACCATCAATTATATCATCATTATCTTCTCCAACATATCATACAAATCAAAAAATTTCTCGATCACCATCACTTAATCCATCGATTGGAAATCGATCAAAACGTTTACAAGCTGGACCATCTATTGATATACCAATTGATTTAAGTGATGATGAAAATGATTTTGATGATAGTGCATCAGCTAGAGAAAATTATCGTTTTGCACCACAAATTATACGTGCACGTCTTTCAAGACATAATTCATTACATTTAACAACAAATCAACCAAGATATCTTCATCCATCAGAACGTAAATCTGAGCTTCTTGTTATTCAAGCACCACCACCAGGCTCAACGACAATAACAGGAAAACAAAATGTATCATTTCAAAAGGGTGTATATAGATCTATTGTTGATAATCAAGCTATTGTAATGGCTGCAAATGCATTTAAAGAAGTACGTGGTCAAACACTTCTTCATTTAGCTGCACGTCTTGGTCATGACGAAATCATGCGTTTATTAATCTGTGAAACATCACAAGCTAGTATGTTAATGAATAAAAAAGGACAAACACCATTATTAACAGCTATTGAAGCTGGTTCAATATCTACAGCTACGTTATTAATGGAAGCCGATCCAAGATCAATTATTGCTAGTGATATTAATGGTTCTAGTGTATTTCATTATGCATGTGAACATTGTAGTGATGTTGTTTTACATCGTGCTATTGCATTATCTAAACGACTTAATTCGACAAGTGATCGAATAACTGTAAATAATAAAATATTCATATTTCTATGAAATATTATGTTTTTTTTTTTGTTTAAGGCATTACGTCGTATAACTGAAAGAAATCGTGTTGGTAAAACTCCATTCGATATAGCTATTGAAAAAGGTCAATTAAAATGTGTAAAACATATTGTTTTATCATCATGGCTTGAAGCAAATATTGATATGAGAGAATTAATTGATGCATCATCAATGAAAAATGCTATTGATCGAGAACAATTAGATATTTTAATATTTTTTGTTTCAGAACCAAAAAGATTTGCTTATATTATTCATTTATTAGTGGAATTAAATGGACGATTTTTTAATTTGGTAAGATAAAAATTTTTATTTTTTATTAATTAAAAAAAAAGCAAACAAACAAATAATTACTCTAACAGGATTAGAAATGCTTATAGAAATAATACATATACCTGATTTATTCAATTAAAACGAAAAAATCAAAAAGATTTCAATATTTTTTATTTTTATTTTTTGTATATATATTAGATTTAAATCAAATATGAATCGTTTCCAATTACGTAAAACCTGTGTGTGTATCCTTAATCGATAATATCTAAAGCTCTGATATAATCTCGTATTAAATTTGTCAAAAAAAAATTAAATAGTTCGATAAAATAAATATGTTTCATTTTAAATATTCATATGAATATTGTCAAGTTTTGAATATATGAATGAAATAAATTCAACTTGTTTTTTTGTTGTTGTTGTTGTCTAGTCTACATATAAATGATATCTATAGTTTAGTTGTAAATTGTTAGATTATATGATTGATTAAATACAATTTTTTTAATACCATTTTTATATAAAAAAAGAAATATCTTTTATTAAAACAAAACAGCAAATAATAAAAACTAGAAAATTCATTAACATCAACTTCTATATCTAAGGATAATTATTTTCTAATATGATTATCGTTTGAATTTTTGAAAAAAAAATCTGTTTATTCAAGGATATATTTTATTTTAAAAATTTTATTGAACTATAAAAAAAAACAAAAAAAAAAAAGCATGATACACATTTTACTAGTATAAATTATTCATAACTTGTATATAGACACATCGATTATCTATTTTCAAGTTGAGAATCTTCAATAACTTGTTTTTTTTTAAAGTAACTGAAACTTATGTTTATTTTTGAAGTAATCATTATGATTAATTTTTGTTATAAATTACTAGCTATTACTCATATGAAATTCTTATCGAGTATTGAAATCACATTTAATCAACCGTGAATGACATTAATGAGTGGATTCTTCGTTTTTCAAAATTTTAATTTTTTTCATACAGACATTTATTCCAGAAATTTTCTCAACTATTTATTTATAGTTTGTATTTGTGAAGAGATGACGATCCATTTTGTTTTCTAAATCTATCATTTTTTTTGTTTTTTTACATATTTTATTTATTTTCTATTTATAGTTAGAATATGCGATAATATTAAAAAAGAAAGATATTGTACGATTATTTGTTAGTGTACGTATACCAATAGAACAATATAATTTTCGTTTTGAATATAAACAATTTTTAAAACATTATAATGAACCATATGTTCAATCAAATTCATTACCATTTTATCAAACACCTATACAACGTATGTTAACAACACCTGAATGTGTATCATTAGTACCTCTTATATTAGAACAATTTGTTAGTGATCATGGAACTGATTTATCAATTGTTGATGATTGTTTATATGCTCGACCAACAAAAACAAGATGTATATTTGGACGAACAAAACATTTTTCAACTGATAATTGGCTTCAACAACATCCATTAAGTAATTTAATATATATATATATATGTGGGCTAAATCAGCGAATATGAGACATTTACCCGTTGTATTTCAATGCAATTCTCTATCAGTATAGGTTTTTTTGAGTGAATTGTTTTTGCATAGGCTTATGTAGAATTGTTTGCTCTTTCCCATGGTTATTAATTAATTAAGAAGTAATTAGCGTATATCTGGACAACTAAATGACGAAAAAACTGGAAAACTTCAGAATAGACTCTAGGGTATGAGCCGCATATATGGTAAAATTTTCGGCGAGATCGGACTTCAAAAAGTGCCTTCCAAAAAATTGTCCTTCCAGAATCTTTAGACAGAACTGAAATGAAAATGTTTGTCTTAGTATTATGCTAGGGACTCCTATCATTGACATGAGTTCCTTGGAATCGATTTCGAACTTTTCAGTTCGTTACCAGAGTATTTAATTGGTAGTGAAGTCGTACTCAGTCACGTCGCTAACGCCGAATAAATTTTATTTTTTTGAAAAACCTAGACATGCTCAAAATAATTTTTAGGAGTTATGTCTAGTATCGCATATTAAGTTTTCGGTGATTGTGCAACACTTGGAAATTTTTAAAACCCAAAGTATATCAAGTGACAGTTGATGTCACGTTGCTAATGTTAGTTTTTCATTAATAACTTCTCTGAACAAAGATCTGAAGTATTGATTTTTTCATGGCATCTAGAGTAAATAGAGACTCGTACAATATGCAAAAATCATATTCTAACCAGTTAATAATTCCGAAATATGCATAGTTCAAGTTTGAGATGTTACGTCGCTAACGAATGATTTAGCATATATATATATATATATAAATTATTTCAATCTTAAATAAAGATAAATTCTTTTTCTTTTTAGGTTTAATTGCTAAAGCTGATTGTAAAGATGTATATGATCATCGTTTAGTTCGTTTATGTGTTGATTTAAAATTTAATTTATTTGGAAATTTTCTTTATTTTATTATACTTTGTTGTCAATCAACATATGTTGCACTTTATACAGGTATTGCATTAGGTTCACCAACACCAGCTGATCAAGGTAAAAATTATTATCAAATGGTTAATCATTCATGTTTTGATTTATGTATAACATTGGCTAATGATCATACAAATCCAGCTACAGATCATCCTGCATTACGTGCTTTACGTTTAATTTTATTAATTTTATCTGGTTTTGCTTTACTTAAAGAACTTTTTCAAATACTTACACAAAGAGAAAAATATTTTCGAAGATTTTATATTAATCTTATTGAATTACATATGTATGTAAGTAACGATTAGAAAAAATTTTTATAGTTTCATTTTCATATGACTATTCAATGAAATAGTATCGAAATTTTATTCTAGTTTAATGTATTTTAACTATGTTTGATTGAATTAATACTTAAAAATATCCTTTATTTGGATACATGTAGATTTATAATCATTTTTTTTCTTAGCATTTTTGATAATGAGAGCGATTGATGTGAATAATTTCTTCATTATTAGAAGTAAGTATAATATTAGGAAAATTTGAGTTGCTTTCAGATGTTTACTACTGTTTAAAAACTGTCAAAAACTTACTATCACTTCGTAATGATATTAGTCTTACACTGTCTCAACAAGAGAACTTTATTTATATAATGATATTACGAATGAATCAGATCGAAGCAACTATATGTATTCTTCTTTGGAGATAATTATAACGATTTCAAAGTTTGATTGTGAACTTCTGAAATTTTTTTATCCCATTAGTAATTTATTTCTGTATGTATTTCTAAAGATCAATCCTTACAACGACTAAATGGCTGCATATGAATGCATGGCTCTCGATGAAGGAGGCAGCCCCCCCCCTAAAAATTGAAAATCTGTTTTACTGTCTGGCAAATATTTTCAGTCCCCTGATGAATTTTAACAGAAACTGGAGATTTACGCTTTTTTTATACAGTTTTTCTCAGGATTTGCCACACATCTGAGGTGAGTCAGAGGATCTTTGCCAGGCTACCGCCTCCCCCCTCCTCCCGGTTATCAGTTTCTATGTAAAACTGGGAAATTTCCACTCGCTATCTTTGAAAAGATTTTCGTCAACGGACTGTCTGCCAAATAGAAAGTCGATATCTTCCCCTACTCTCAAAAACAATTGAGAATCATGATAGAATGAAAGAAAAAGATAATGGAAAATCCATAGAACAACTTGAAAGAAAGAAGAGCATAACAAAGCAAAAAGTTCAACGCATTAGTTTAATCATAGTGCAAACAAGAGCAAGAGAAACGTATCATGACAAAGAAAAATCGTATGATCATATCGAAATAGATGCCGAACATAATCGAGCAACCTAATGTCGTCAGGTTTCCATCAAAAACTGATGGTTGACCATGATTCATGAAAAGATCGGCAGTTCAAACAATTTTATTCCTTTTTTTGTCACACTTTTGATAATTAGTTAAGTCTTTTAACTAATGACTATCGTTCTAACGACGTCTTTAATTAATAAGCAAATTCGAGAATAACCGATGTGTTCACGGAGAGAATAAGGCTTGATGTCGACTGCAATTTAAGATTTTTATAAGAGTTTATGAGTACTATTGCAGTCAGATATTCAAAAAAATCAAGCAAAAGCGTCTCCTTGAATCGGTGGTTTGCATGGCATATGGGATTTAATACAAAATTTGTTGATAATCTTTTTCAAAACCAAATTTTCGTTGTTGACATAAAATAACCACGATTAATAGTTTCTGAATCATTAAATTGAGATGTCGCAATTCTTTTCTAGCCTTTTACTAATTTATATAGATTAATACTCATCAAATTTATTGCTATGAATAGAGTGTTTGACATCAATAGAAAGAATTCTCTATCTTGATTCTATTGAAATTCGAATGTTTCTTTCTCCTATAATTTCATAGAAATAAGTATGGTACTTTGACATCTATGAGTCTCCTTAAAATGTATTATGAAATATTATTTCTAATAACGTATTATTTCTGAAGGATTGATTGCCATAGTATTGGAAGTAGAAGGTACTTCAAAACTAAATATCCTCATACAAATTTCAATATTACAAACTGCTCGGTTATCCATACCAAAAAATGAGAGAAATAAACTTTTCTATGCTTTTATAGTTCTTAGTTACATTAATTTTCTATATACAGGATGGTTCAAAAGTTACCGGCCAGTTTTAAATTGCGAATACCTTTTTGATAGGAACAAGATCTAAACCTGCGGTTTTCACCATTCGAAAGAGCGATGTTCAGACCATCGATCTATATAAAATTCACTAAGACGAAAGATGCTTTTTCATAGAAGCTTTTTAATTGACATTCTTTTTTTTGTGTATTTTCATAAAATTTTCAAAATAATCTCGTCTCAAATTACGCCAAACTGTAGCTCAAATCACCCATTTTTCGCTATACAAGTATCACTGTTTTTCGAAGGTTCACTTGAGAAAAGAGGTCGACGGAAATATGCATAAAATGATAATTTTATAGCAAAAAATGGATGATTTGAGCTACAGTTTGGCGTAATTTGAGACGAGATTATTTTGAAATTTTTTGAAATTACACAAAAAAAAGAATATCAATTAAAAAGCTTCTATGAAAAAGCATCTTTCGTCTTAGTGAATTTTATATAGATCGATGGTCCGAATACCGCTCTTTCGAATGGTGAAAACCGCAGGTTTAGATCTTGTTCCTATCAAAAAGTTATTCGCAATTTAAAACTGGCCGGTAAGTTTTGGACCATCCTGTATGTTGTAGCTAAAATTAAAATTCAGCGTAATTAAAAATTTGTCTAGTATTAAATTTAGACTATTTTTTTCATAAATTAAATTTAAAACTAACTTTAAATTGTCTTAAACTAAAAATATTACCTTGAAGAATAAGTTTTGCACTTTCTTTTTTTCGCTTTCTTAGGAGAGTTTTAGGCCTTATATCTTGTGACCAGGAAGACATGTAAGGCCTAAAACTCCTCTGAAACATCGAAAAAAAAGAGTGAAGAAATTATGTTCTAAGGTAATATTTTAGATAAAAAGTCTGATAATTTAAATTTATTTTTAAATTTAAATTATGAAAAAAAATGTAGTTAATTCTAAACTTGATTATCGATGATTTAAATTTATTTATGTTAATTGGCACGTGACACCTCCGAGCCTGACTCCTTCCACACCCATCTACACTTACACTCTTCAAAACCAAGCACCTTAACCCTCATCCGTACGCTTTGTTAGCAAAACTTTAATTTTTTTCTTTTCATTCAAAAAAAAAAATTTGATGTTGACTGACAGTATGTACATTTTGCTCATGACGCAAAAATCGGATCATTTTTAGTGGTAAACCGTAGTATTTATCAGAACCAGCGGTTCACACTGCGGTTAATTGTAGCAATGGAAGCCGGTAAGCGGATCGGTAAAACTGTCGGTTTTTAACTGATTTTATCGCATGGGAACACACAACAACGACATTTAAAATTGTCAAAAACCGATATTTTGCCGTAGTTCCCTATCAAAAGTCCCTAGCTAACTGGTCAAATTGGCAGTTAACCGCAGTTAATTGTAGCATTGGAAACCGGTAACCGAACCGGAAGAACTGTGGCAAACCACCAGTTTTTATCAAATGGATGAATTTCTCTTGTTCGCTAAAAATAAACGGAAGCACAACAAAGGTATCCTCATCGTCAGATTCTCTGGAAATGCATTTTTATTCATTTTTTCAAATTTAATTATTTTTAGTATAGAAACAAGTTCTTACAAAACAAATTACATAAACTGAACGTATATGAAAGTCTTTATCACTCTGTGCTTTCCCAATCGTGCTTAGTTATTATTTGATCACAAATATTCAATCTATTATTGATATACTCTAACTCTCATATTCCCATGGATTCTATTTTACATTTGTTTAGTCAAATCGAATACACTCCTCTGTACGTATAATGACAGCTGAAGCCCATACTCTCAATATAGCACTGAAGTGAAAGATTCTGACATGTCCGAAAGAGCTGTGACTGTTTGTTTTGATACACATTTGTAACCGTATTTTTGTTTACAGAACATATAAGTAAGAATAATGAGATACTTTTTCGTTGTTTTCTTTCTATTCAAACATTATACACGTGACAGCTAATCTCGGTTAGAAAGGTATCAGGTGATAAATATTTTCATGTACTATTAGATTATATGTTTTATTTTGTAATTAATTATTTGTGTATTATAAATAAATTCGAAAAAAAATGCATTTCCGGATAATCGGACGATGAGGGATGTCTTTTTTATATTTGACTTTATTTTTAGCAAATAAATGTAATTCAAAATGTACATAAATCAAGTTATCGAAAACTCCACAGGCTATCCTAATACATAATTTATTTTCTCAAAATCTTAATTTATAGTAATGATATGTTATAAAACTACTGAGTCTGACTATTTTTGTTTTTCAGGAGAATATATTATCTTCAATTCTGAAATACGTATTCGAGAGCAACACAAAAGTGTAAGGATACTTTGTTGCATAACTGAAATTTCAGCGACATTCACATTAGAAACTATCATTTTTTCCTCTATGGAGTTGCGAGGACGTCAACTCTTTAAGTTTTGTGCAAATGAGATTCATAGAGAGTACAGTTAAAGTTTTTCTGGAGTTATACATTTCGTATAACATCAATACAAAGGCAGATTTCAAAAATATTTTAAGTTAATAAGTTATTATAAAATTCTCATGAAAAATGTAGTGAAAACATGTTACAAGAATAGTTTTATTCATTTTTATGATATAACATTGGCAATACTTTAGGCGTATCAAAAGTAAGGAGATTTTTTAGGAAAAAACAAGTAGAGAAATAAGTTATTTTAGATTTGATTTCATTAAAATATTTCACATAATTGCTGTGATTATTTATACGTAATTGCATTCTTTTATGCGTTTTATCATAAGTTTCTTTTTATAATCGTCCTTATTGATCGAGTATATGACCTTGATTATTTTTTCGGTGTAATGAGTCGAAATTACTTTGATTAGATCACATAACTAAAAATCGAATAATGCTAATTTCGAAGAATTATGTGATTGTCGAATAATTTTAATAGTTTTATATCTATGAGTGATTTCAAGCAATTATCGATATAATAGTGATACCCGATGACTTCTCCTTGATATAAATTCATTGAATTAATACAGAAATAGTCGTTTTGAAAAAGATGTAGAACAAACACTTTGAAGCAAAACAATGGCGTCAAAGCATAATAGACAGTATAGGTAGTATCAGATGATTTTTGACCAATTTATTTATGATAAAACCATGATTAATCCTTTAACAACTGTAATCTAACATTGAACTTTTATTATTGAAAGAAAAATATAATTCATCATAAATTGATTATGATTGAATTTTATTTACAGTATGTGTCTTGATCTAGGAACAAAAGGTTTCCTTATTTATATAAAAATAGATGTACATAATGTTCATTAAAATTTTTCATATCACAGTCTCAATTGACTTATGTTACTATAAGATAAACATTTATAACACTTTCCTAAGAGGAAAGATTCTTAAATAACTTTTGAATTTTAATCTAAAACTTTGTCCATATAAATATATCGATATGGATTAGTTTGTAGAAAAAATTTCAGAATTTTTTTTTTACTAAATCTCTTCAAGAAATGAATTTTTCAAAATATAGACACTTTATGATAAATATTGTAGATAAACATAAATATTTTGATAGATTCATATCTTGAAGAACATTTGATCGAAATATTTTCTACAAGCTAATCTAATCAATACTTGTAAGATATCAAAATTTAAAAGTATGGTTTCGTTTCAAAACTAAAACCTTCAAGTAACATTTGAATCGCTCTAGAATATTTATCTTCTTACTATTCTGCATCGATTGGATATATTCGCAGTTTGAAAATGATTTAACACTCAAAAAACATTTCCTCGTTAGATATAGAATTTCAATCTGATGTTCTTCAAAAATAATTGAAACCATTTTTTTGAAAATTTATTTTGAATAATTCAATAAAATTTCTGAATTTTATAAGAATCTCGCGACAAAAAAAAAACTATATTATTTTAAATAGGTTAGTGCCATAATATATTCAGTAGATGTAAATGAATGTACACGTCAAACAGGAATTCGTTGTTCAGCTCAATGGATGGCAGGTGGTATTGGTCTAATATCAGTATGGACATCTTTATTATTAATTGTTATGAATGGTATTAAATTTGGTAAACATGGTCTTTTATTTATAACTGTATTTGTAACATTTCTTAAATTTATTGCTGTTTATTTTATGATATGGATTGGTTATATCTTAGCTTTTTATATGTTATGTAAAGATATAATGGAACAATTTCAATTTTTTAATTTTGTACCAAAATTATTAGTTATGTTTGTTGGAGAATATGATATGAGTGGAACATTTTTTCCAAATAATAAATTAATACCAGGTTCAGAAGGTGCACTTATACTTTATAGTGCTTATATATTCACTATGTTTATTGTTATGATGAATATAATGGTAAAAAATGAAAAAATTTTTATTTTTAATAAGAAAAATATATATATATTTTTTTTTTTTGTTTAGGGTGGTTTAGCAGTAGCTGATGTAAAAGAATATCGTTTAAATGCTAAACGAGAACATTTACGAGCACGTATTGGTGTTGTATTAGGTTTTCAAGCACGTTTAGGTGGATTTTGTGAAACAATTGGTAATATTATAAGAAAATTAGCTCGAAATGTTCGTTTAATGAATTTTTGGGAACAATTAAATCTTTTTCCATTAAAATATCATTTACGTAAACTTGAAATACGTTCATATGTAACAAATATTCCACATAATATTCATTCAATATATTTTTCTCCATTAACACCATTAAGAAGACGTGAACATATTTTATTTCATCCATCCATATCATCATCACCACCAAATATTGGAATATTTGAAGAAGTACAAACTGAAACAGGTTATTATTATCATCAAGATATAACACGTAATAATAGTTTATTTAATGAAGAAGAACATACACGTTTATTAAGAAAAACTGATGATATACGTGATGCTATTGAAGAAACAGGAATACGAACAAATAATGAAATAAGAAAAGTAGCATTAAGTTTACAAAATGAATTAGAAGATATTAAACGAAGATTAATGCAACGATAATTTCAATGAAATATTGAATAAATTGATTTATTGTTTTGTTTTTTTTAATTGTTTTGTGAAAAAATAATTCGGAATATTAATAAAATGGCTAAAAAAAACATTTTTTTTTTGATAAATAAAGATAGATTTATTGAAAAATGAATTTTTCATCATTCTATGATTTAGGACTTACGGTAAAAAAAAACAAATTTGAAGAAACTAAATTAGTCTTGTTGAAATGCGTTTACAAAGTCAAATACAAAAAAAAAAAGGCGTACAACAACATAAGAATGTCTTACGGAAATTATTTCAAAATTTTATGAATTTATATCTGATTTGTCTTTTTGTTATACAAAAAAAATGTTGTATAACTAGCAGACATTCTTTTAAACTCTTCCTTTCTCTTGAAAGAAACCAATTCTTGTGAAAAATATAAAAATGGAGATAAATACAAGGGAAGATAGGCCGAGATATGTTTTTGTTTTCATTTTTCTTTGATTGTGCATCCTAAAGTTTTCGAAAAACTTTCATTGTAGCCAATGTTGTCGTATTTATTTGAAAGAATATGTCAAAATTCAGAGTATAACGGTACTAATTTTTTTGAATTAAATATTTTTTACTATTACATAAAAGGATACTTTTAGAGATATATTTAGCAAGGAAATCGTAAAATTATTCAAATAATTATTATAAATGTAAAAAAAACAAAAAAAATTGAAAAATTTTCTTTTTATTATAATAAACAAACATTAACAAAAAAAAAAAAGAAAAGCTTATTTTCATTCTATATGGATATCATTTTAAATAAAAAAAGAGAACAAATGAAGAAAAAATTTAATAGTAAAATAAAAGATTATTGAGTATTTTTGAGTTAAAGTGCGATATAAAAAAAATTTGCACTTATAAAAATAGAAAGTTTTTTTTTATTTCTCATTGTTTCACCATAAATTAGGTTTCGATTAACGTCAATAGATATTTATATACTATATAGTATGAATTGAATAGTTAAAATTACTCAATACCCTTGAATAGATATATGCTGATATTTTTATTCTATTGTAGGCGTATTCATGCATGATTGATTCATGACGTATTTATGTACAGTTGCATACATATATATATATATGTTGCATGAGAAGCTAAAGATAATAACAAACATTTACATATTTCAATCTTCAACTACAATACATTAATCGATATGGCTTTTTACGGTGCAGGATTTGCTCCTTATGGTAGCGGCTTCTTTGGTGACTCTGGTTTAAGTAATGAATTTTCTTTATGTTAAATAGATATGTATATGAATATATAATTAATCCTTTTTTAGCTGCTCGTTTTGATAATTACTTGGGTTGGTATGAACGACATAAGCACGGTGCTCATTCGGCAAGAGTACTAAGTCCAGGTCATTACTCAAGTTCTATTCATTGGGGTCCACCAAGTGTATATCCAGCACCAGCATTTGATCCAGGTTTTGGTGGTTATGGTTTCTATGGTTGGTAATAAGATAGCAATTTGACAGCGAATGGTAATATTTAAACTAGAAACAAATAACTTTATTTTTTATATGTACATTTTTTAATCAAGCTTTTTAAATATATAATAAATATCTTTTGACTATTTATGTGTTCATTAATTATTGAGAAAAGTGCCGTTACAGATTAACAAGTTTGAATAGTTTCATGGAAATTAATAGTTGATTTTATTATTCTATAAATTAGATTATTTTGATCATAGACATAATAATATTTATAGTTTATTGTTTTCTTTTATAATTTTCAAAATTTTACTCGAATAATTACAATTCATAGAATAAATAAAAATCCTTTCTTACATAGAAAAATTTACAGTTGAATAATAAGAAAACTTTGTATATCTTAATTATTGATCTTATTATCGATTATTTGAATTGAAACTTATTATTGTAAATCATACTGATATTATTAATACTTTAACAGTGAATTTATTTGACAAAAAAAAAACAATAAAGTAATAATTTATTGTTATTAAGATATATTTTGAATATTATTGACAATCATAATTCTCGTACTTAGGCTTGATTTAATATTGAAAAGATTTGTTTTATCATATTTTAGCTTCGTCTTCTATTTAAATTTATAAAACATAAATTTATGGATCTCATTATCAAAGAATTAAAGTAAAATACTTTGGTTTTTTTCAGTTTTTCTCTATATAGATCATCATAAACCAAATCAACTTTTTTATCGTCTACATTTTAAATATTTAACATAATCGTACATACTAGCCTATGTACTTTGATGCGGTGCATCAAGTGTGACGATGTGTTTATTCTAAACTCTGATTGGTCTATGTTTCGATTGGCTTAATTTTTGAGTCAACTGTCTTGTAATAAATTAAAAGATTGATACATTTGATTTTTCCGACTCAAGTGCTTTTTAATAATAACGAAAATATGTATGGATATATGAAAAAAATGCTTAAATTCGATAAACAAGAAGAACTTCCTTTTTTTTTTACTCGTTTACAAACTACACAGGTTAGACAATACAGAATATTGAATAGGATAATTCATACAAAGCAAATTGAAAAAATAATAACTATTGAAATTAATGAACTAGAGACTTGATTGAACTTTAACCGTTGTGTTCTCAGAAAAACAAACAAAAAAATTTACATGTGGAAAAAAAAGGATAGAATCTATTGAAATAATAAACTTTAATGCAAAACAATCGAGTTTGAAAAGAAGGAAAAGTACATATATGTATAAAACTAAACGATTAAAGACATAAAAAAATAGAAATAGAAAAGTATTGGTTTTATTTTGTAAAGAAAACATATAACATTTCAACAACATAAGAACAAAAATAAAATCAAAATATAGATACTTTTATTTTATCATAACAAACTTAACATATCAAAAGAAGTTACAGATGACTTGGAATAAAAACAATCTAAAAGAACAAGAAGAAGAAAAATACAAAGGATATGAGTATGTTCAAGAGAACTATTGTGAACAAAATATAAGTAGATTAATTAGTTATAAATAATTTCTTTATTTATACTGATCGGTTAGATTTTAAACCACTATGTTAATTTGTCATACTAGTATGCACACATAACCTATCAGTGTGACGTATGCCACACGATCCGGTATAGATGACTAAAGGGATCTATTCATTTTCTTCAAAAACTCTAACTTTATCGAGTCCATAGATTTTATCATCATAAAGAATATACTGTACAAAAGGATAAATACGATTACAGAAAGTCATTAAAATATGCATACTTTTCGTGAATAGAAGAATTCCTAACATTGATTGCTTCTAAATATAACATGCCTTTTCATTGTATGTACAATTAATATCTAAACATGAGCCAGTTCTTGTCTTAAACAAAAATATATTTGTTAATGTTTGACTAATTGCAAAAAATGATGTCGAGATGTGCAGGATTACCCTAATCTGTAGGATAGAATACAAAGTATGAAAAAAAGTTTATATCCTGCACATCCCTATTACGATGATACTAAAATGAGTGTATCAATAATTCAAGCATACTGATTATCTTTCAATCTATTTAATAAGAATACTACTATGACTAATTAATATATCTTTGTTTTTCACCTTCTAATTATATCTCTTGTATCTTCTTCGTATTTTCAGAGAGGTTTTATTTGAGACAATAGTTCAATATAACATTCTTATCAATTTGATCGATTTATTAATTTGTTTAGATATTTTCTTAATATGACTATATCAGATTCGAATGCAAGCGTAGTAGATAATATAAATGTTGAATCGAATCAACGGTGTGTCACATTTTTAGTTAATCGTTGGATATGGATGTGAATCTATTTTTCAACGACAATCACAAACACATTCTACATCCTAAAATAAATATTATGTATTTAATAGATATATTTACAATATGTTTAGTTGATCTAAAGAATTTCTATAGTAAATATTAGAAAAAAAATGAGTATCGCTTCTTTTTTTTTCAAATATTAATAATTTTTTATTTAATTCATTTAATATTGTTCAAGATATTACTCATTTATTTAAATTTTTTAGCGTGTTTGCTGAATTGTTTTCAATAGTAAATCTGGGTAAATAAAGTTTAAATCTGTTTCTTGTTGATTACGAAATATTTGTGAATAGATTCGACTTCTCGTTAAGATAATAATGAAGATACAGCTATCAATATTATTTTTAATTTGTTCTATTGCTTCCAGCATGAGTTTTGAGTGTCCAACAAAAAATGGAACATATCCACATGAATGGAACAAAGCAGCTTACTATCGTTGTTCAAGGGGGTGTGCTTATGAACAAAGGTGTCCCATGAATTATTATTATTATAATAAAACGAATCAATGTCAATTACAACCAACTGATTGGACTTCACAATTCGACTTGACTGGTCGATATCAATTGGGTTGGGGCAACTTTTTTATGGATATTAGTCAAACAGGCTATGATGTACAATGGACATATGAAACTACTGATGATAGATATACCTTTGTGGGTCAATATATTAACGAAACAATGATAAGCGGTATGCAAACAAATATAAAAAAAAGAACAAATTGTGTAGTATTACAAAATTTTGAATTATCTGTTGTGGGAAAACGTAATTTTTGTCGAATTCGAGCTACATTTACTTGGTATACACGTACATGTAATACAGCTTTATCTGTTAATCAATGTTATGTTTATTGATTAATATTAACTATATGTTAAATTTTTAAAGTTGACATTAAAGATTAAAATATATATCTATACTATTTAAATATCATTAAATAGTCATAGTAAAATTTTTTAAAATAAAATTTTTATTGATTCTTTTTTAGATGTTTATTTTCAATATTCTCTTGTTTCTTATTACAAATAGTTATTGTATTGATGAATTACCTGGTATTAATGATATATCATCTGGTTATGAAGCAGCTAAAATGCTTTCTGCAAGTGAACAAAATTCAAAATATCGTATATTTGATTTAAGTGAAGAAAGTACAACTCCATTTAGAACTAAAGTACTTGAACAAGATCGAATTTTTACACGACCTAAACTTGTTCAAATAACTGAAATCAATGTTCGAAAACAAGATACTTGTGAAACAGTTTCTTATACATTTGAATCATTTTTTCGCAGGTAAACTATTTTGTTAAATGGTTTTTTTTTGTTTTGAACTCACTTCTAATGATCAACGGAACCAGTCATTTTTGGTACACATATTAAAACGAACTTTACCTAATAAACTTTTAAAACATATAAGTAGTAAGAATATAACATTTAATGCAATTCTTACACGACCATAAAACGTATCACTTTTAACCAAAAAATGTTGGTCCGTGTCCTAGTACCGAAATCAGTTGACAAAAATTTGATTCGAGTTCCAATCATGATTTAAAAAAAAAACTGTTTTTGCATCTAATGAAGATCATCAAGCATATTATAATCAATTTATTGAAACATATGGAACACATTATATTTCTCGTATTATTGTTGGTGGTACAGCTCATTTATATACATTACTAGATTCTAGTTATCATAAAGTGTCTTCATATGAAGAAACATCAAGTCAAGTTAGTTTAATGCTTCAATATAAAGGATCTTATGGTCAATATGGATCTGATACAAATCAAATTTGGGCTTCAATGAAAGAAACATTTAAGAAAACTTCAGCTACATTTTCTATTTTTCAACCTCCAGTAGCAAGTCAAAATAATAAATCAGATTGGGAGTAAGTTTTAAATAGAATTATTATTATTATTATCTATTAATAAATATTTTCTTCATAGAACATGGCAACAAACAGCTGGTAATTATCCAGTTGTTGTTAATCGAACATTATTTTCTATTCATAATTTAATTAAAAATAAACCAACAATTCGAGAACATTTACGTAAAACAATTGAATTTTATTTACAAAAAGGAGTAATGCCAACATTAGCTGAATTGAATGGTCAAATTACAAGTCGTAGTTCTTTAATATTATCAAAACCTCAAAATTCTATAATGGGACTTGATATTGTTGGTTGTGGATATGATCCTCTTTTAATGGAAAGTAAATATTGTTTATTTGATCAAAATAATTTTACTGATAATAAACAATGGTCAGATCCATATAATAAAACTTTAACTTATTCCATACCAAATGGATGGTTTGTTGTTAATACTCCTGAATCATTAACATTTGATGGTTCAATATTAATAACATCTATAGAAGATTATTTTCGTTCAATAAGAACAGTTAATGTTAGAAAATCAGGTAATTGGTTAGGCATCGATCGTCAACATAGTCAAAAACTAGTAACGGAATTTTATCGTCGTTTTTATCAAGATTATTATAATTTAGTACTTCGAATGAAACAAATTGGTTGGTATACATTATCAGTAACAGCATTTCCATATCCAAAATTAAATCCTACAGCTCAAATAGCATTTAATAATTTACCAACATATTTTGATATAAAAGATTTAAAAATTTGGAAAAATTTTTTTAATATATTTGGTACACATATTGTTGTATCATCTAATATAGGTGGTCAAGTTTGGGCTGAAACATGGTATGAAACATGTTTAACTTATGAATATCCACAAACATGGATTGATGAACAAGTAAATAAAAATTGGTTTTTATTTACAACATCTATCAAACAAAAAGAAGATTATAGAAAACAAATTGATGAACATTTTAAACAATATTCAATATTTTCATCTCAATTATTAGGTGGTACTGATTCTATGAATCCATCTGAATGGGAAAAATGGATTTCAACAATAAAAATACAACCTCGTCCTATTTCATATCGTCTTATATCATTAAATGAAATTCTACCAGAAAGTGATCGACGTAATGCACTTAAAGTAGCTATTGATTATATTTTAAAAATAGCTGAAACAGACAATCATAATTATATTGAACAATTAAAAAAATTACGAGATCTACCAAAAAAAAATTGTACTCGAAATAAAATTCGTATACGACGAGCTGAATCAACAGTAAATATTGCAGAAGCAAAGAAAGGTTTATGTCCTTATATTGGATATAAAGGAAAAGAATGTATTGGATCAAAAACAATAGGACGAGCTTTAATTGCAGAAAATGCTTCTAGAGTAAAGATTTTTTTTTTAAACTTAGAACATAATAAATATTAAAATTTATCTTTTTTTTTTTTTGTTTTATAAGTTACCAATTGGTGTTGGTATGACACTCGACATAACAACAGGTAGACTACTTCTTCCTGCTTTGGAATATATCTATCGTGGAAATAACTATTGGACTGATCCAATTACAAAGATAATATATCAAGCACCTCGTGGAGTAACTTTTTCTGCAATTAATTCAAATGATAATAATCCTATTTCTCGTGTTTTTCTTACAGCGGCTGAATTATCAAATGAATGGAAATATGAAAAATTAAGAGGAAGTTGGTTAGGTGGAGAATTTGGTCATTCAAAATCATTACTTGATATATTTAGTAAATTCTTTTCAAAAAATCAAGCAATAGCTATAACACAAAAGCCAAACGTTTTATATCGATTACGTATTGAAAATCTTCAATTAAATAAATATGCTAGAGAAGCAATAGAAAATCTACCAATTGTATATGATGAAACTTTATATAATGATTTTTTACAAAATTGGGGTACACATATTGTACAACAATCTCTTATTGGTAAGTTTTAAAATTTGAAAAAAAATGATTAGATTTTTTTTTATACTAAACTTATTTAAATTGATATAGGTGGAATGCGTGAACAACAAGTTCTTTTTAAAGATTGTATATTTTCATTTAATGGTGCAATAACATCAAATAATTTAAATGATTATCTTAAAAAAGATATTCTTAATGAAACACTTGGAAATAATTTTTATGCTGATCGTCGAAAAATTTTTGTTGATCAATGGCTTGGTGGTGATCCAACTGAAAAGAATGAAACACGTTGGCAACAAACATTAGTTGCTAATCCTGCTTTATTGAAAATTGAAGAATATGTACCTTGGTCAGATGTTATTGAAATTGATTCAAATGTACGTACAAATTTAAGAAGAATTATTCAATCTCGTACTGCAGTAGCAGATAAAATTCGAATAGATGAAGAAAATCAATTAAATGAACAACGTATTAATGGAAGTTTTATGATTAGAGAAGGTTCAATTGGTCTTTTAAATAATGGTAAATGTGAAATAATACCGGCAACATTTGGTTCGGTAAAAGATTGTTCAGAAGGATGTCCAACTAATACACAGATAAGAATTAATTCTGATTTTTTTGATAATCAACAACTTTGGTATGTACGAGATGATACAACAGGATTTATTCGAGCTCGAGCACGTATAGATGCACGTAAGTTAAAAACAATTTGTTTTGTTTATTTTTAGAAAAAAATACTTGTTTTTCTTATAATTAGAAACAGTCCTTGAAGGACCGATGATCAATGCTGGGTGTTCATCGATTGATACCGGAAGAGATCCTACTAGATCTGCCCATATATGCGTTTCATGTGATTTAGTTAGTAGTTTTACTAATCAATGTGTATATGTGTGTCCAACATATCCATCATCGAGTGGAAAGTAAAATATTTCTTGTATTGATCAAAATCGTGATTCCAACGAAATCTTCTGTATCACTTGATATTTAATGAACTTTCTTTTCTTTTTTTTTAATTTGAAATAAAATACATTGCTGGAGAATGTTAGATAAATGTGAAAAATATATGAATATTCAAAATATTATCGACAATTACATAGACGAAACTACAACCTTTCTATACTGTTAATTATAATACAGATGATGGCATCTATTTAAAAACGGCCAAAATCTTCAGAAAGACATTTTGGATTCGAAGGATCTAGCATAATTACATGACAATTTTCATATATGATTAAATTTTGTAAAATAGATATTTCAAGTTTACAATGACATCAAATGAAAATAATTGTTTTATTTGAATAATTTATTGCTTAGTAATAGATGTATACTAATAATATAGAACTTTAGATTTGATTTTAAATTTAAAGTGAAATTTGTTATTTTCAATTTAAATTCAAAATTAAAGTCAAATAATTCTCTTAATTTTTATATTTTCTATTTAGTTTTGATATCCTTCAAAAATTTTCTGATATTTAACCATTTATTTCTGTGTATTTCACACAACAACTAGTAAAGTACATTTCAAAAATTATTCATTATTAAAAGAAGCCATTAACATACCGAATACAATAAGGCTGAAAGACTATGCCTTTTAAATAAATTATAAGAACATTTTAATACTATCTATTAATGATATGTATACATAGTTGATTTCGTCATTGAAATCTCTTTGACATGTTTAAATGCATCTTAGTGATATAACGAAAAATGATGAACTGTATTCAGACACATAGCTCAATTATCAAAAACATTAAATAACGTATATGATAAGAACATGTGAAGCGTATGTATTCGATGGAGAGCGTTCCATAACTTTCAATTGAAGGTTTTCAGCAGTTATAAACGTAACCAGGTATTTAAAAAAAGCATTCACATTCGAACGTACTTGATAATGACAACAAACTAATCTAAATGTGTTTTATTCAAGATATTCGTTCGAATATACGCAGATATGAAATACGTTTTGAATTAACTACAATTAACGCAGTTCAACACGTTTGAAATCTATTAACATTTGAGTTGCATTTAGAGATGTTGAAAACGTGTTTTATGGTTAGATGAGCATTTCAATTATAACGATTGTTGACATAAAAGCTTATGTTTGACCTTTTTCGGTCGTTTTCACCATGAATGTTCTTATTTCAATTATAGTTATAATTAAGATTAAAAAAAACTATGCCATGATTTTTTGGTTGTTTCTACATCAGTGCCCTTATTTCAATTATAATTTTGATTTTGATACAAATTTACCTTTGGCTTTTTCAATATGAATTCTGGTTAGAATTTTTTCCTGATCGATTTGTGAAATGATATCGAGCTCTAACAGAGCGCTCCGTTGATATTTGAACTCAAAGTATGTCATGAATAATTGAGATTTTCACTTTGAATCATAATAGAATTTTAATTATTCGTCTCGCTATTTCACGGAAAAAAAATATAAATTATAGAACATCAAGTCAAATCGTATTGTTTCATCGAGTTATATTCTTTTTATTTAGTTTATATTACTATTCATCTTTCTTTTCGCTTTATTGTTATTTTTCTTCTCATCAGTATAGTAATGAATAAAAACACGAGCCATAGAGTTGTAGAATAACATAGTGAGCTCGTATTTTCTATCATATATCGTTTCTAACTATGTTTAACAAAAGATCATGGTTCAATTTTCTGATACTTTGTATTCTGCTGCCTTCTGTTATGATTGACAACTATGTTAATAGACATTCATTGAAGTATAAGACACCAAAGCATATTACTATTTAAACAAATTTTTTTCTGACGAATAAAAGAGTGACAACTTCAAAATTCTTACTTAATTCGTTAACAATTGATGTAAAGATTATTCTAATTTAAAGTCAATTGATTACGACTGTTTACTCTGTTAATCGATTAGAAAATAGAGTTTAGAAGATTTTCTAGCAAGTACTTTTGAAAAGTCAAAAAAATATATATTATTAAGAAGTATGTTACTTTTGTGATGAAAAGATAATAATGAATTACCTCTTTCTCGTCTAGATTCTGTTGAACATAAAGAACTTGTTGTCATAATACTTTTTTTTGTTTCTTTAGGATACCGACTGGTGATGAGAGATAATTTGAACGCAGCACTATGCTGATATCTACGCATTTTTCTATTGATTAGATAATTGTAGCTGACATGAATACTCATTTTGATTATATAAAGAACCTCATCAATGTTATTTTTAGTTTAAACAATGACTACTTGTTGTGAACAGTAAATCTACATAGTTGTTTTCTTGGTGATTATGTTACATTCAATTTTATCTCCCTCCATTTCCTTCTATAAAAAACGAGAGTGAGATTTTTACTCTTCTCATATTTACTGTTCATGTATCTGTTCCTTATTCTTGATTTAGTTCAGACTTTCATCTACTAATGCACATCGATTTTAGCAGATTCCATCATTCCTGAGTAGATTAAGTTAATTAATATACCATAAGATATGAATAAAAAAAAAGCATGAATAGTCAGTGTGCTAGCTAGAGAAAAACGGTCAGCATGAGAAAATATCTGATAAATAAAGATGATTCTATTACATCCTTTATTTAGTATTTTTCTGTTTCATTTATTTAGTTTGTTCATCTACTAAAAAAATGTCATCAACATCGGATGCAAGTCTAATTGCCTCGTTGAACAATGCTTCAATACAAATAAATCGGTATTTTGGAATTTTCATCTTTCTCTTTGGTATTGTTGGTAATACTATTAATATATGTGTTCTGTCACAACGATCTCTTCGTTCAAATCCTTGTGCATGGCTCTTTCTTGCTTCATCAATTGCAAACTGTATTGGTATTCTTGCTGGTCTTACTTCTCGACCATTATCAACTTGGTCTGCTGATCTCACAAATACAAATCAATTTCTTTGCAAACTTCGTGCGTTTCTCTTATTTACTGCAATCACTATTGGCTCCTGGCTTATCATGTTAGCAACAGTGGATCGATGGCTTTCATCGAACATCAGCGCCAATCAACGCAAAAGAAGTACATTAAAGAATGCTCAACTCGGTACGATTCTGATTGTCATCTTCTCAACTATTCTTGAAGCACAACATCTTTATTGTTACGAAGCCAATCTTACTAACACGCCAGTGAAATGTTACACGAAATCAGTATGGTGTAGCTTTCTATCAGATTTATATCTGGCCCTACTTACTATTCTAATACCATTGGTATTGATGATTATCTTTGGTTTGATGACCATCGCAAATATTACTAAATCACGATCTCGTTTGCAACCGGCAGCTAGAACGATGGATGGTTCCACGGGGCACAACACAGCAACAACCAATTTTGGACAAGTGACGAGTGAACAGAGGAAAACAGATCGTCGCCTTTTAATCATGTTGTTGGCTCAAATTTCTCTTATCATTCTACTTACTATTCCACTTGCCATAGATAAACTCTATACAACCATAACCCAATCTGTACTCAAGTCTCCATTGAGAAAAACTATTGAAAGTTTCATCTTTAACATTCTTATTCTTATTTATTACATGTCTTGTGGAATGCCGTTCTATATTTATACATTAAGTGGAGGAAGTATATTTCGTAAAGCTATAGTTAATTTCTTCAAAACATTGGGTCGAAAAATGACCTGTCGACGTGACTAATTTCTTTTTTTGAATCATGTAAAATTCATTGTCATTCAATGTATAGTTGTAATGCTTTATCAATACATAATCGATGAAAAAATAAAATTGTTATAGATGTACATGATTATTTTTAGTCAAAGACCATGATTAATTCTAAAGGAAAGTAGAAACTTCCAAAGTTATTGACAAAGAAAAACAAACACAAAGTGCCAAAGACGAATATTATTATTCATTGACAGGATTTCAAAAGATTACAGAAACATAGGTTGATAATTACAAAGAACAACTGACACAAAACGTTAGATCAAAAAGAGCTGAGTGACGGTATAAGAATATCTGTTGGTTCAAATTACCATGGTTTGCGTATATAGTAATGACGTACTGACTAACTATACATTCAACACTACCAATACAATAAAAAGAGAATCTAGAGTCAATATTTTTGTCGCTAAATTTCATTTTTATTCTGTCATCTTTGTCATCGTCGTAACCATTCTTAATCCATAATAGAGTGGCAGGCCACTGCTACTTGTTTCTCATAAATGTGAAAGCATTCATCATATTATGGCTTGAGAAACCATGATCATAATCTTGATTTGACAACAATATTCAAAAGGCAACAATTAATACATTTGAAGAGAACTAGAATATTTATTACTATAGTCAATAAAATTAGCATAAGGACAAAAACAGTCGCGAAGAAATGATTGATATTGTTATCATCTTCAATACAAAGCCTTGAAGAACAGAAAACAAGCAGTGTATAATTTAGTCTTGTTCGTGACTATTTCTCTGAAATATTTGACTAAGAATATACGAAAGAATCATGACTAATATATAAGCAATGTTTAGATAGATATTTCATTTTGCATTTTTGAAATTAAATGTGACGCCATTGTTGGAAAAATTTGTTCTGAAAACCCTGATTAATATCGATTGTAATTAATTATAATTTGTTTTTCCAAAAAACTTTTGTACAGGCAACAATATCTAGAAGAAGGTTTAAGGGTTTTCGCTCAGAAAAGTTGGTTTTGACGTTTATATATACATTCAGATGATCCTTGGCATAGGCTTCAAGCTGGTATAATTTTTTTGTCGAAAGAAGGTTCAAGTTTTTGCCTGATAAGTTTTCTTAGCAAAAACTCGAACTGAAGAATATGAATCTGCATTGTATGGAAACTTCAGTACCATTATAGCATGAAAATTAATATCATATAGGTTTCAATGAGGCTAAATTGATTGTGCATATGCCAGGTATGAGGATATACATATGGACTATATGTAGAACAGAGGCCTTACTCTCACTCATATCTGCGAATAATATTAAGTAAAATTAGTAGACTTATTTTCCAATAGAGACGCGCACTAAATCAATAGCATTGCTTTTTTGTTTTTCTCTAAATAAGTTTCTTCTCGTATGTCGTTTACGCATGCACTTTTCTTAATAATCACTCAGTATAAATGGATAATTTATTTTTATTACATAGAGGACAGTTAAAGCCAAGGCTAATATTCTTTGAATTTTTGGTTGAAATCATATGAAATATGAAAAATTTTATTATTAAGGAAAGAATTCTTCTTAAAAGAAAAGTACATATAAGAAAGATTGCAATTAACCATTAAACATTTACTATTTTTGAGTAGACATTGTTAAAAATCACGAAAAAAGTTCTCACAGTTAACCAAACAGTCAATAAAATACTGCAGATATAGTATCTGTTTGTCGTTTGATATGAGCCACATGTTGTAATGTTACATTCCTTTTTATAGAAATTCGTTGCTTTTCTGTGAAACTTACATATATTTTCAAAGACAAGAGTCAGTACAAGTGTAAATCAAGATTTCTGTAGCTCTCTTTCTCTAGGCTCTAGCAACAAGGATCATAGGTCTATGTATTGCAGCTTTCGGTTTATGTGCAAATACAAGTTTCTATTCAAAGAGTAAAGTATGGTCAGTAATGATTTATTGATTCACCGAAGTCATCAAATGATTAACAAAAAAGTCATAAGCTGATCAAGTTATAACTTTTGGACATAAATCATAGGATTGTGTCTATCTGTATAACTATAGCGATGAATGTAGGTCTTCTAGCATTGTCATTTGACTCTTTGGTCTAATAATTCTCTGGCTATTGTCTGTTCCAATTGTCAGAGTATTGTCTCTGTCCTCTTTGAATGCTGTCAAGGAATGAGAATCTTAATGTCTAATATGTTGTGTTGTATTTCATTTATTCTTGTTTTTCTTCGGCAATAAGTTTGAAAGCTTCTACGTCCCCTTAGAATCAATTTTGAACTCGATGAAAATTTGAATTCTCCATGAAATACTTATTGATAAAACATTATAACCGAGCACTGAATGAAAATTAATTTTATTTGGTACAAAAAAAAAATTAGCCACGTCGACACATCATCTTTCGACTTAATATTCTCAGAAAATCGAACAGAGCTTTACGGAATACACTTCCTCCACTTAATGTATAAACGTAGAATGGCATTCCAGAAGACACATTAGAAAGAAGAAGAAGTACATTGAAAATCAAATTCTCAATAGCTTTTCTCAATGGTGATTTAGGCATCGATTGAGTTATAGTTGCATATAGTTTATCAATAGCAAGTGGAAAAGTAAATAGAAAGATGAGAGAAACTTGAACCAACAGCATGATCAAAAGATGACGATCGGTTTTCTTCTGTTCAGTCGCCGCTGTGTTGTGACCCGCATGATCATTGATCATTTTATTGGCTGGTTGCAAACGTAAGCGTGATTTACGTATATTCGAAATTGTCATCAAACCAAAAATAATCATCAATAGTAATGGTATTAGGAATGTAATAAGGACAAGAGATAGATCTGACAGAAAAGCACACCACACTGATTTTGTATAACATTTAAGTGGAGTATTGGTGAGATTGGCTTCAAAGCAATAGAGATGTTGTGCTTCAATGATAGTTGAAACAAAAACAATCAGAATTGTACCAAGTTGAGCATTCTTCAATGTACTTCTTTGTCGTTGACTAGCATTAATGTTTGATGAAAACCATCGATCCACTGTTGCTAACATGATAAGCCAAGAGCTGATAGTGATTCCATTGAATAGAAGAAACGCACGAAATTTACAAAGAAATTGATTTGTATTTGTGAGATCAGCAGACCAAGTTGATAGTGGTCGAGAAGTGAGAGCGGCAAGAATAGCAATACCATTCACAATCGATGAAACAAGAAAAAGCCATGCACAAGGATTTGAACGAAGAGGTCGTTGTGATAAAACGCATGTATTGAGAGTGTTACCCACAATACCAAAGATAAAGATGAAGATCCCAACGTACCGATTTATTTGTGTTGAAGCATTATTCAACAAGGCAATGAGACTTGCATCTGATATCGATGACATTTGTGCAATGAATGAAGAAACTAATTGAATAAAATGAAAATAATCTTCAATGATAGATCTGATGGAATCATTTTTATCCGTCTGATATTTTTCTCATGGCGACAAATCCTCACAAGCTAGCGCATCAAGAATCCGTGCTTTTTTTCTTTTCGAATATCTTGTCATATTAATCAGCATATTCTACTCAGGTTTAATGCTATCTGTTAAAATTAGAATTGTATCAGAAGATAGAGATCTTGAATGAATAAAAACTACCGAACAGATGCTTCACAGTGAATTTTAAAATAGGAAAGTTTTGCAGTGATTTTTATATACATAAACAGCTAGATGACGATAAAGTTGCATTTAAAATTATTACGAAGAAAAAATGAACTTAGACAGGGAATTTATAACGAACGATGATCGCTTGAGCTAAATCCACATTGACCAATTCTTTTTATATAATTAAGAGAGTTTTAGTTTGGATATGATTGTGATTGTGGGTTATAGGTACAAAGAAGGTCTCACTCTCAAAAATACACCCACATCTACGTGTACGAAATCATGACCACAACTTTGATATGATATGTATACTGCTAAAAGCAATATGATATAACGACATATGTATATATGCCATCTAGTAAATTTTCAACAATAGTGTAAAAATATTAAGTAACATTTGTAAGCTTATTATACATCGAAACATTTACTAAATCGACAGCATATTTTTCATTTTTCTTCAAATTAATTTATTCCAAGTATATTGTATGCGTGGACAAACTTTTTTTTTTGGGTGTAGGTCATCTTTTCAAGAACAACCACAGGCATATACTTTATTCTGCGACTTTTCTTGTACTGTCACTCGGATCATTGACCTGACCTTTTTTTTCTGTTGTCTCTTTATTATAATCGAACTCTCGTCTGTCTTATCTTGAAATCCTGACAGTTAATAAGAATATTGATGTCTGTTATTGTGTTCTCTTTTCTTCTATATATGCTTACATTTCTTTGACACTAAGCTTGAAAGCTTAGCTTATATGTGCCCTTAGGATCATTTATGACTTTTGACTAAAAATCACCATGCATTTGATAAAATTTTTAATTCTTCATCAAGTATTTATTGATAAAAAACATTAGAACTGTGCAATAAATTAAAATTAATTTTATTTAATTTAAAGTAAAATCAGCCACATCGACACATCATCTTTCGACCTAATGCTTCTAAGAAACTGAGCAGAGCCTTACGGAATACACTCCCTCCAGTCAATGTATAAATATAGAATGGAATTCCACAAGACACGTAAAAAAGCAAAAGAAATAAATTAAAGATAAAATTTTCAATAGTTCTGTCTAATGGAGACTTAAATACGGATCGGGTTATAGTTGTATAGAGTTTATGTGTAGCAAGTGGACAAGTAAATAGAAAAATGAGAGAAATTTGAACCAACAGCATAATCAAAAGATGACGATCGGCTTTTCTTCGTTGAAGCGCCTGTGTAATGTTGCCCGTTGCTGTGCTATAACTACTATGGCCATCCGCCGTTCTACTTGCTGGTTGCAAACGAAAATTTGATTTATGTATATTTGCAATAGTCATTAAGCCAAAAATGATCATCAATATCAATGGTGCAAGGATTGAAACCAGAGCAAAGAATAGATCTGATACAATGCCACACCATACTGATCTCGTATAACATTTGAGAGGAGTATTGGTAAGATTAGCTTCAAAGCAATAGAGTTGTTGTGCTTCAATAATACTTGAAACAATGACAACCAGAATTGTACCAAGTTGAGCATTCTTCAATGTACTTTTTTGTCGTTGACTAGCGTTGATATTTGATGAAAGCCATCGATCAACTGTTGCTAACATGATAAGCCAGGAGCCAATAGTGATACCATTGAATAGAAGAAATGCACGAAATTTGCAAAGAAATTGATTTGTATTTGTGAGATCAGCAGACCAAGTTGATAATGGCCGAGAAGTGATACCAGCAAGAATAGCAATATTATTTGCAATCGATGAAGCAAGAAAGAGCCATGCACAAGGATTTGAACGAAGAGTTCGTCGTGACAAGACGCCTGTATTGAGAGTATTACCCGCAACACCAAAAACAAAGATGAAGATTCCAAAGTATCGATTTAGTTGAGTTGAAGCATTGTTCAATGCACTAATCAAACTTGCATCCGATGTCGATGACATTTTTTCAGTGAATGAATGAATAAACTCAATGAATAAACTAGAAAAAGGCTCAATGACAAATGTGACGGGATCATTTTATTATGACAGATATACTTTTATAGAGCAACACACTTTTACAAACTAGCACATTGAAGACCGCCGGTATTTTTTTTTTGAGGATATATTTTTCATATTAATCAGCGTAATTGAATCAGAAATGATGAAGTCTACTTAATTAGAATCGTATCAGAAGATAGAAGTCTCAAGTAAATCAAAAATTGTGAACAGAAATATGAACATTGAATGTGAAAAAGGACATTTTCGCTCTCGTTTTCATATACGTAAATAATTAGAATATAATTAAATCGAATACAAAATAATAATCAAGAAAATATCTAGCCTAGATATGAAATACAAAAACGAATGATTATTGCTTGAGTTAAATCTACATTGGACCGATTCTTTTTATAGAATTTACATAAATACTGACTTCAATTTTAAGTTGATCATCATATTGCTATGCTTGTTTTTTTCTTTCATCACTATTATTGATTTTCCAAAGAAATATAAGTGTAGTAGTAACATGCTTGCATTGTTGAATAAAAACTATAAAAGAGCGAGATGTATTCATTGTTTTCATTTTATCATAAAAGTAATATATTTTATCATGGACGACGCAGACAAAACTTTCTACGGAAAACAATCGAGCTTTTTTTTAAATAGGGTACTATATGAAAAGTATTTCAATTTGAAATTTTGCATTAAACAGTTCATTCATTTTTAAAATAATTTTTCTCGATATAAATTCATTTATAGTAATGTCTCAATCAATTTCAAAGTTACATTCATTATAAACTAAAGACAAACTATATAGTCTCCTTTGATTCACTGGATTGCGAGTATCTAATATAATTATTTCATTTGTATTGACAAATAGCTCTACGGTTATACATATATATTGAATTTTGCTGCTAATGAAATTTCTGGTTGTTTTATGAAGTAGTGACAAACTTGACTTTTTTCGGACATATATTTAATAAATTAGAAACTAATTACAAAAATTATAAACAGCCAAAAATAGCATAAAATGGATATGACTTACAGGCATCTTCTTTCTATCGTGAACTAAAAAAAGCAAAAAAGGAGCGTGATCTTTTCGTCACTCTATCGTATGATATTAAAGAATTAGCCTTTAGCTTCTTTAATAAAAATACAGGTCAAAGTTATCTGACAGAAGTATAGTCATAAAAATATTTCTAGCGCTATGTATCAATCTTTCCATATTCGCAATCAGAGTAGAGCGATATCAGAAGAAGTAATTACATTCTATTGCTTCGCAAGTAGAACATCATTTTATTTGATCATGATTAATTACTTTGAATTATCAAAAGTATTTGCTTGGAAATCTTTCAATATCGATTTCATCATTTATGAATAAAGTAAACTGTCGTGGTTACTTTTTTTTTATTAGTGAGAAACAAGTTTAGGTCGGATTTTCCTGCGCAACACTTTATTTTAGTGTTTTGTATATCAATGAATGTTTGTTAACAGAAAGAGGCAAAATACAAGGCGCCAGAAAACAAAAGAAAGTGAAATATGAGAATCGTCATCTTAAAATCTTCTGTCTGCAAATAAGATGATTCTGTCTTGTCTTGAAAAGAAGACTGAACCGAATATCTGACAATAGTAAATTCTCTTCTTATTTCTTTTTTTTATCTATTTAATAGTAATAATTAATTAACAAAGATTAAGGATGTTTCATATTTTGATGACATACTTTGTCACACATTTAATATCTTGTTATTTTTTGCTTTGAAACGACGTTTAGATGTGATAAATGACAAAGTCAAATTTTTATTTTGAATTTTTGCAAAGTATTAAACTTGCTATTGATGAGTTAAACATGTATTTAAATGTCATACATATAAAGATATTGGCTAGAACAAATTTTCTCTCAAAGTATATATAATCATATCAAAAAAAAAAGCTGTTAGCACAATCTCTGTAGAATAAAAATATGATGCACGATGTAGTTGTTGTTACTAATCACCGAAAGCTTATTTTATTTTATCTATCTTGACATCTACTTTTTCACCATTCTTTTAATTAATCCTTCAGAAATGCAACAAGAATATAGCTCGTATATAATAATGATATGTGTCGCGGTCTGTGATAATCTTTCGATTTTTTCTATCATTGACCATGAAGAGTAGAGCGAGATTGAGTGTAATGTTTTATTTTATATACTTCTACACTTTGTTGAGATCTTGTTTCATAAAATACTAAAAGTAATGTCGAACATGGCATTATTAATTTACCTTAAATGACAAATTTCGATATCCTACTCACTATCGTAATGAAAACTTATAAATCTTGTCTAAATTAACATCAAATAAAACGTTAATAAATATCTGAAAATTCAACAAAAAAAAAGAAAAATTTTATTTGTACATTTTTTATTCATCTCTATAGTTCACATGAGAAATATATTGTTTTTTTTTCCCTTATGACTATATGATGTACTTTGATATGAAATAATGTCAGTCAATTTATTTTTGATTTGTTTGCTCCTTTTTTTTTTGTTTTTAAGAATTAGTTTTAGTTTATAGAATTCAATATTTTTCAAAGGAGCAGATGATTAAACAACATGATTAATTGTTGGACTAACAATGGATTTAGTTTGATAGGTAGTTCGTTCAGTAATATGAACATTACAAGATGTTTGAATTGTTGCAAAATTAGGTGATGTAATATCTTGTGAAGGTGATATAGAATTATATTGGACTACCGATTTAATCGGTGATTTTAATAATGAAGTAGAATTAGTAGAAGTATTTGAATTTCTTTTACTAATAATTGGAGATGATGGTGATTTCGATGATTGTGATGGTGAAATAGATTGAGATCGAATTGCATCTTGTTCAATAGCTTGTATAGGTGATACTGATGATGATCTAGTTAATTGATCCATTTCACTAAGAAATTGTGTAAAAATACCAATAGGTAAACGTAAACCATCATATTGTGAAGTTAATTCTTCATTTAATTGATTATATAAACGAGTTGGTGATGTTTGACACATTTGATAGAATTTAATTAAACCACAACCTGTCATAAATTCACATAATGGCATCATATTATGAAGATTTGAATCATATAAAAAATCTAATACATCTTTTTTTGTCCATTGTTTAATTGAAATTGATGAATAAGTCGATTTTTTTGTATTACGTTTAAAATATTTATTAGGTAACTTTGATTTTTCCATTGATTCATTTATTTTTAATGTTGTTGAATTATTTTTATCAGATAATTTTGATTCTATTAAATTAGAATGATTTTCATGTAGACTATGATTACCAATTGTATTATTATTCAATTGACTTTCTCTTTGTAATGTTATTTCTTTTAAAAGTAATGTACATGCTTTAGTAAATTCTAATCGACCAAAATCTACATAAATTCGACTACCAATTAATAAACCTAACCATCCATCAGCCCGATAACCTTGTCGTACAATAATTGGTAATAAACGTCGTTTACAACGAAATGCATATTCAGCTTCAGCTTGACAATAAACACTACGTTTATAAGAATCTGACATACAGATAATAACAAATTCAGAATTTTCTACAGCATTAGCCATAGCTTCCATTGCTAAAATTGATTAAAAACAAAAGTAAATAAATATTTGTAATGAAAAAAACAAAAAAAAATTTACCTGGCCCATACATATTATCACGATCAACCCAAATTTTAAAACCTTTGTCAATAAGAAATTTATGAATTTTATTAACAAGTTGTTGATCAGCATGACAATAAGATATCATTATATCATATAAATATTCTTCAACTTTAGATTTATCTTGTTCTTCTGGTTTATCAATTGAATCAATACTTTTTTTAATTATTTTTTCTTTTTGTTGAGCAACTTTTTCAGATTCTATATACTAAATTAGATAACATTTCTTTTTTTAAATTATTTTTTATATTTACCTGTAAAAAGATTCCAAATAATTTTTTCTGCTGCTTTTTTAATTCCATCATCAGATGATTTTTGCATATTTTCAATTGAATTAATAAATTGTATATTATCACGTAATCTTCCTGCTGCTTCTTCATCAAATGTTATTGAACCAATAGATTCAAGTAATAAACGTTTTAATCGATCATTAAAATGTTGATAATTATTAATTAATAATGATAATGCATTTTGTTTTAATATTTCACTTTTTATTTGATCATGTTGAAGAAGAACTTGTTTTTTTCAAAAAAAAAACATAATAGAAAAAAATAAAATAAAATTGATTTTTATTTTTTTCTTACCATGAATACTTTCAACAAGTAAAGAAATATTACGTTCAATAAATTCATTATGTTGTTTTCTTTTTGATAATGATTTAATATTTTTTCTTAATAAATCAAATATATTTGAAAGTAAACGACCAGTATCTTTTTCTGATGATTTTATATCATCTTCTTCTAATATATAAGCAAGCATCATATAAGCATAAATAACAATAGATTCATTCGATGATGATACTAATGAATTAAATAATGATATTTTTTTAAGTTGTTTTATATATGCAAGTAAATCAGGTTCATGAACAAATGTAGTAAGTGTAAAAAGAGCTGAATTAATTAATATTGTTTCAGATGTTGTTCCTTTTTCATTGACTTTTTTTAATAGACAAGGTTCACTGATTATACGAATAATATCATCGATAAGCCATTGTAATGGTTGACCATTAGCATATGGTGTATAATAACCTTTAGCATGAGTAATAGTTAATAAAACATGATGAACAATATGAATCATTGAAGATTTCCATTGTTTTATTGATTGAATATGTTTATCAAGTATAGATGCATAACGTGGTACCATTGTATCTAATAATTGTTCAATAACTTCATTTGAATATGAACCTTGTAAAAGAAAAAAAAGATAAAAGAAAAATGATTAAAAGAATAATTTTCTTACCATGATAAATAGTAAAAAACGATGGACATTGAATAAGAAAAAAATTTTGTTTAATTGTCATTGATTGAATATTTGTTTTGAATTTTCTAAATTCACGATCATAATTTGATGAAATAAGACAATCCATTGTTGCTTCAAATAATCGATAAAATTCATTTTCATATTGTAATTTTGATGGTAATCGTCGATAAACTTTACTAAATATATTAAAAAGATTTGAAAGTTGTTCAAAAATTTTATTTTCTTTATCAAAATAAAGTAATCGATCAATATCATTCATACATTTAGCTAATGTATTAATAAATGATCGATCAAGTAACCATGATGTAAGTTTTGTTATATCTTTAACAGAATTAATAAGACGATAAAAAAATATAATACAATTACGCAAAAGATATATTTCTTCTTGAGTTAATATATAAGAAGAATACCAATCGAGTAAAATATCTCGAATAATATTTCGTATAGAAATATAAAATCTATGTGATGTAATATTACTTAATATAAATGAAGGAATACTATTTAATATATTAATTGTTTCATTCATTTTATTTACATAATTTGTTTGACGTTTAGATGTATATTTTAAATTACGAATAGAATAATTCAATAGATCTTCTAATTCTCGTTTATATGATTTTGAATAAATAGATTTTGATCTTAAAAGACCATTATTAATAGTTGTTCGTTCTTTTATCAATGATGATTGCATCGTATAATATATATTATGATGATTTATAAATCGTTGTATGTTATCAATGTATTATCGTTTATTATACGAAAAAAAAAAACGAATCAAAACTTATAATATATATTGTTGTTTTGTCAATGCATTGAATATTTATTTATTTGTTATATAGTCATGTCTATATCGAATAATAAGTAAACCTGAATAATTTTTTTTTTTCGTCCACTGTACAAGATCAACCATATTTTTGATGACAATTTTTGTTCTTTCCTTCAAATGATAGAACAAATTATTCTATGAGTCACTATATAATTAAACTCATGTATCGTTTGTAGAAGAGGTTAGTAGGTTCGACAGAGTTACGAAAAAGAAAATGCTATTGCGTTAAGTTTTATGTATATATAGAAAAATTATATTAATTTCGATTGATGAATATTCATAACTATATAAATATATCTTTTGAAAAAAAAAAAAGAAGAAAACCTTGATCAAAGTACGTCATCATATAGATACACGTAACATATGTTTTTTTTTTTATAGACATTTAAATTTTTGTATTTTCTACATTTAATATATTTTGTAATAAGAAAATTTATCATGAAAAAAAATAAAAACAAAGAAATCATTTGTCTTAGTTTATCATTTAAGGGAAGATCTATGTAATCATTTTCTTTGTACATCTTATTGAACAAATGTAATCTTAATTATTTGTTTTTTTAATAATTCTGACACGTGAATGATATATTTACTGTCAAGTTTAATTGCAATATTTTATATATCACATCATTATATACTTCACATTAGTAGATAAAATCTAAATTGATTGTATTTCTGTCTATAGAACGTCGCTATACTGGAGTGTTTACGCTGTTCGACACATGGCCACAGGGTCACATGTTCAAACCTGGGTATTACCAGTCATAAAATAACCATTGTCTGTCACGGATGATCTCTCTGATAGTATGCTGATTACGTTGTGACATATACTTGCTTTTCTGAATTAGTCAGTATCTATGAAGAGCTTATTGGATCTACTACAGAGTCACATGAAATACCGTAAGATAGCTGAATATTCTTTCTTCATTTTTATAATAATTATTAGATGATAGTGAATATTTTTCTATTTTTGTTCATGTAAATAGCGAAACATTTTGTTTTTTTTCCTTAATAATTAATATTATTTCATCATAGAATACCGTGTTTTTTTTATAACTATTGAGAGATTGCTATTCTTCGCTTTGAAGTCTAAGTAGTTTTATTCTTTTGTTTCGGTATAGGTATTTTTTTTTATCTGTAAAAAAAGAACATAAGCAGTTTAGAATTAATTTTTGTTAACATGAAAAGGAAAATAAATACATTTTATAAGGTTTATTTCGATAACTTATTTGAATAAAAAAGCAAAATATTATTTAAGAATCATAATCATCTGAAACTTTATGAAATCGTACAAGTAATCCATAGGCAACAAGTGATGCTCTTATTTCAGTAAAATATTCAACTTTTTCATTAGATACAAATTGACAAATACGTTTTGTCTTAGCTCCAACAGTTTCACATTGTATTGTAAACGACCTTGGTTTTTGTTGACATTGTAAAACAATTTGAACTTCATAAGTACGTTTAGTTCTTAATGAATGAAATTGAGTTTTTGGACTGTAAACTGGTAAACTTGAATATGCGATCGTCGGTGATGTATAAATATGTTTTTTATTTGGAATATGTCCTGGACGAATACCTAATACAGTTCCATCAATGAGTGTATCTCCGGGTAAGCAAAATTGACGATTCGTAAGAATAGAATGTGCAGCTACGATAGTCGTTCCATGAAAAGTTACAATCCATTTATCCCAAATAGCATAATGTTCTTCAGTAACTGGATCAACATGAAGACCTATACGTACCCATCCACGAGGAATAACGTAACGTATTCAGCATTACCCGCTTCTATTACACTTGGCAATTCCGAAGGATAACAATTCTTACAATAGCATGCATCGAAAAAAGGATCAAATAGCTTATTGACCCAACGAAGAGATGCAACAAATTCTTTTGCTAGTTTCATTTGACTACATTTGTAATTAACTTTTCGTCGTAATGGTCTATTATTTGAAGATGCCTGCGGAGTTGTTGGCTTTAGTTCTATTTCGTCTTTGTAGGATATTTCAGAATGTGATCGTTTTTCTTGATAAACAATAAGATAAGAATTATCAGAAACGATTTACTCTAAGACAATGACTAGTTATTTTATAATTTAATGCTATGATTGTTTCTTAAACTGTCAATTCTTTCTTTCATATAACTACAAAAATCTAACTTAAAAGGTTCTATTAAAATGTATGTTGCAAATAAAATTACATGATATCTAAATTAGCATTTGTTCAAATGAAATACTTACCTTTTAAACCACGAGATTTCTTTCGTTCTCGTCGTCTTCGCCGTCGACACCAGTAGCAAATAACAATCAATATTATTACGAAAACAACTGTACTACCTACTATTGCTATTAGCATTGGTAGATGTTCTGTAAAAAAACTTGAAGCAGCACTTGGTGTTGATGATGCTAGAATAAAGTACAACAGTAGTGTGTCAGATTATGTCTAAAAGTGCTGAAGTCACATGAAATAGGTTTCTCCGAACTACAAAAAGAAAACACAGACTTTGACAATTTCTATATACCATAAATGGATTTGAATTCCTCATCGATAAGTTTCAGATCTACATGTTTCTCTAACGATTTTTCAACTGTTACATTTAAAAACAATAACAAGTATCTATCAATTTCTTATACTATATAAAATAAACAAAAGATACTTATTGAAGTTGTTGAACGCCATGATGTTGAATTATCTGTATCGGTTGAATTCTGTGATTCAACGGTCACTAATAATGTTTGTATTGATGAATTTGGTGGCGAGTCTCAATAAAAAAATAAAAATAAAAATGAATCTTTCTTAGAAAAGTTATATTCAACAATATAGTTGACTCGTTGTTTTTCAAAAAGTTTTTTTTTTTTACTGAACTTATACCCATTAATATTCTTAAATAGTTCAATAAGTTAGTAATAATCATTATATCATACCATCAATCTTAATATGATCTTGTATTGTTGCTGCATTTTTCTCCAATTCTAATGAATCACGATAATGAATAGAAATGGCATTTGATTATATAACTAATATACTATACAATATATAAGAAAAAGATTTCATTTGTTTCACATCTAAGTAAAAAATGAATGAATTCAAAACATGATATTTAATTTGAATGTATTTAATAGACAAATAAATTTTCATTTTAAATGATATTCTTATATTTATACTTTGTTGAATAAATTATTATAGATGTTTAATTTATCAATCAAGTTAACATTATAATAATGTAGAGAAAAAGTTAAAATTTCTTTCTATTTGAAGACTTACTCATCAGAGAAAAAATGTTATTGACTAACTACTTACATAACTGATCATTAAATTTTTTGTTGTCTCGTAACTACAAGTTTGTTTTTGATACATCTATATCATCTTATTTATCTACGTGTTCTTTGTCTAACCTATCTTTATTTATATGTATCTCTACCTATGAAATAGATAAGATTTATTATAATGTCCTTCATTTATTTGGTTTTTATCTGTTTAGTACGTTTTACTTAACATCTGCACAGAAACTATACTAAAAGCAATAAATCTATTTTGAAATTCAGTTCATGACAGAGACCGTCACAGGGCAGGGCTGCCCTGATGCCCTGCCCTGCCCTGCCCTGAGGTAGGGCAGGGGAAACTTTTTGCCCTGATTCAAAGAAAGTTTTTAACAGAATGTGAATAAAATTCAGTTTTTTATTAGAAAACTGATTAAAATGGCAATATTTTCATCGAATTTTAACCTAATTATTTGATGTTCAATCGATTAAACTTTGTGACTAGATCAACACTTTTGTATTCCATTCAAATTTATTTTTCTAGTACCTTTTTTCAAGAAGTTTTTATGCCAGAAGGCTTTCTTGCTCAGCTCAAGAAGTGTATGTGGTTCAAAACAAAGTTTAACCAAGGAATCCAATCAAATGTTGCCTGTCAATCTTAAGAGAAGACTTAATTTATCTCTGTTGAAAAATAGCCGCCTTTCGTTTAATACCCACAATAAATAAACAATCATTTTATTTTATATTAGAAGTTCGTTCACAAGAGCACAACAAAGGCGAAATAAAAGCTAATCTGATTCCTAATTTTGTTTTCAAAAATTCTGAAATTTCTTTAGATTTATTAATGTCAAACTTGGTTTTTTGAGTAACAGACAATTGTTTTACAATTAAAATCACTTTACTCCGATTAAAGAATTTTTTTCAGTAAAAATCTTAGTATTCTGCAATATTTAGTTTCTAAAACGTCTACCAACGATAAAAGGCTAAAGTTCAAATGTAAATTGATTGTTTTTGGATTAAAAATCAATTGTAGTAGCACTACTTTAATCGGATTTTGTCAGCTAATAGATAGATTTCATTCTATTTAAAATCTTTTTTCATTTATTATAACCGATGACTCAAAATACAGCAATTATAAATTATTATTAGAAAACAATTTCAATTGATGAAAGTTATTTCACGCAAAATATTATTAAAAAATCTTACAATAAAATGAAATCTGTCTTTTTGACTGAAAACTCTGGCTAAAGGCAGTCTGAAATAGTGCTATTTTAACTAACGTTTACGTCAGACACAATCGATTTTAATCTAATCTTTAACCGTTTTTCTACATGGACAAATAAGTCTCAGAATATGTTTTTAAATGCTTGATTCTATATGTGAATGCGAGGAAAAAACTTGGCGATGAATGGAAGGCCAGTATTGGTAGGATTACATGAACTTTCGTAATAGAAAGCCATCACTTTTTATTTCATGGAAATGAGACATGAGTTTTACTTATTGCTATGTTAGTTTATACCTTGAACAAGCAATTATTATCGTCTGTTGAAACATGATATGTCAAAGATCTACTTAATATTACACGTACTGTTTGTCGTAGTAAGGAGTTCAGAAAAAATGAATTTTTTAAGTTTCACTTTCAAAAATACATCATTCAACCATATCATTATTGAAAACGGTTGAAAATCGAATAATCTGATTCTAATAGTAGTATTTTCATTCGATTTTTAAACATAAGAAGTCCATTAAAATGATATGATTTTTGAAGCTCGTACAACAGTACTTCTTTCTGGTACATGATGGTGTTTAATTACATAATAGCTTTGATTGTGGCACTTTCGAAATAACATAAAGTATAAGTATAAAATTCGAAAGCAATCAAATAATTTTTATGAAGATTTTAGATCTTATACTAGGCTTACTTAGCTTAGACGCCCTGCCCTGCCCTCAGGGCAAGGCAGGGCAAACCAAAAATGAATGAATTATTTTCAGGGTATGGCAGGGCAGACCAGGGCAGGACATAGGGCACGGCAGGGCAAAAAAAACTACCCTATGACGGTCTCTGGTTCATGAATAATTGTATTAAATTGTTACATGAACAATAAAAAATTCAGAATATGTATCGCTCTATAGACATAATTATTAAGGGATTTCCGCGAAATTTAATCAATAAAATGTTGAAATATTAATCAACTCATGGATAATGATGTTGACGATTTTTTCAAAATTATAACTTGATCAATTTTGTATAAAAAAAACACTAGAAAATTTTATGTCTGTTGTTCTCGATTGCTAAAGTCTGTAATGGCGATCTGGGTTGTTAAGTATCTATCATGGGAACGAGTTACTTACCTTTGATATGATCACTGATCAACAAGCATGTAATTTTAGGAATAGTGACAATTTCATTTGGATACTCCTTTGATTCACAAACAAAATTGATAAAATCTGCTGTTTTTCGAATAAATATATCGGATACTGCCTGAATGATTTATTTTCCTCCAATATTAAAACGTCTATAGAAATGATATATAATTTACAATGAAAGTATTTGAATCTTATACATTAAATTGCTAGTTCAACAAGTTTTGATAGTTGTCATTGTTCCATAAATTCTTAACATTTAATTATTGATTCTCGAATACGAGCTATTCATTGTTTCTAAAAGAAACGTTCGATCCTGATATACAACGCTTCTCAACGATCAATCATCTTTCTAGTTGTAGAATAAAAACTATAATATTTAAAGAGAAGTGTTTTCATTTGAGCTTCTTGAAATAAGTCAATTTATATAAACTTTCACAGCATTTTTTACTGTTTCAAAACTAAAGACAAAACCATGTAGAACAAAAAAAAACTTCGAAAATTGCACCAATTTATATCAGTAGGTGAAGATCGTCTGTTCAATTCAGGCGTATGTCGACATTCACAGTCAGCCACACCCACCTCCTCAATTAGATGAAAGAAAAGAAGATAAAATAGAAATCTAAGTAAAAAGTGCAATATTAGAATACTATTAAATTGGCTCGATAATTAATAAAACTAATAGTGAAAACAATCATAAAATATGAATTTTATATATGGCATTAAAATGATTGTTTTGAATTAAATAACAAGGCTTAAAATAAGCAATCATTTTAATGCTTTACACAAAACTCATTTTTTGGGCATTTATTGTGATGAAAAATAAAATTCACTCGAATTATGCTTTTCTAACGCCGTATATCCAAACCTAGACAACTAACCCCTTTCCACAGCATATCTTTCAATCGAAACAAATGGATAGACCAATATTTGTTTGTCATAACATTTGTCCAAGTTGTGAAATAAACTGAATCAACTCTGCAATTTTCTTGAGTGATGCACTGTTTATTCATCGTGATATTAACATTTTTTTTGAAAATCATACTATGTTATTGCATATAAACTATCATGCATCCTAATGCAATTAGAAAAAAAACAAATGTTAGTAGAAACAAGAATCACTCATGCATTTTTGGAGGCTCTCAACAAAATAAAGAATGTAAAATATCTATGAAAGAAAAAAATCAAATACTAAAAGTTTCACTAATGAAAATACTTTTTCTACAAGTTGATCTCTTTTTTGATTATAAAACAGAGACCCTCCCTATAATAAAAATATTTAACCAGGCCTCATATGAATAGGTGAGTTGAAGCAACGATGCTTTTCCTTTGAATTGTTTGAGTTAGCTTCTTTTATAAATCATCACTATAACTTCTTTAAGCATTCAATTCTCATAAATTTCTAAGGCGAAAATTTCTTCAGTCTGAACTAGCTCTTCGTTTGTTCTCGAATGTTGGTAAACAGGATTACATTATTTATACATTAAGCTATGGTATCAAACAAGGTGATCTTGATTTGTTCCATTGCAATTCCTTTGGTTGCCGCAGTAGTTGTTGTTTCAGCCGTTCTTTTGATTAAGAACGATCATGCAAGAAATACAACAGGTATTGTTTCATCAATAAAAAGAGAAGATCGACTGATGGTTTATGTCAGAAGAAACGATAGAAATGAAAATAATCCAATTAGTTCGTTCTTATTAAAAGTTAATCAATGAATCTGTCAGCATCTAACAATAGAACTATTCATCGAGAATTCCAATATGAAACAAAAGCTACTCACTCATTCTCTAAGAGACATATAACAGATTTGTTTCTATCTAGAAAAATTCCAGGTTGTATTGAAATTGAGACGATGAATTTGATTATCACTCAGCGTATAGAGATTTCCTTTACAAACTTTCTAATTTTATGTGATTTTTTTCTAACTTCCTTGAGTTATAACATATTCTGCAATGCTCTCTAATTTGTCAACACAAATTAGAGTTTAGAACTAAATATTTTCACGATCATAATCTACGTCCAAAGCAAAAACCTACACAAAAGTTTCACAAAATTCATTTTGTTTTAGTAATCAAGCTTTGAGTAGAAACATATAAATTTTCCTCCTTTTTTTCATTCTTGTTAAGACCGAGTTTGAGTTGAAGCATTTTCTGACAACTACATCCCCATTGGAATGTGTGCTGCATTTTTCTGGTGCAAGTATTGCAGTGATAAACTTTTTTATTAATGTGAGAAAATACATAGTACCAATTGGGTCTCGCTCAGTCATTGTACTTGTTACATTCACTCGTGGTGCTCCTACATGAAACGATGGATCCATCGATAATATCGCTTTTGTCTTATATCGCTGAACAGGTTATAGATAAACACTGATGAAACTAATATATTTTGATATATAGTTGAAAGATATTTAATCAAATTCATGCCTGAAAATATAGTTCTATTAATTTTACAATATATAACTAACTTTCTAGCAACTAATATTGCTATCTGTCATATGAATCACATTATGTTGCCAATATGTTTCGTATTAGTTGTTATTAATTTTAAACTACTCATAGAGGTTCTGCATAACAAGTTTACACAGGTATAAAAACAAAAATAATCATAATTTCGAAAAAAAAAGAAAATTAACTAGAGAGAAATAACGGATTGGAGTCACAATGATAACAGAAAAGTAATGACAAGACTATCAGATTTTTCAAACAAATTCTATTTAAACAAAATTGACTAGTATACGGTCAAACAATATATTAATTTTCTAATTCTGAGAATCAGTATTCATTCTTAATTATTTTTCATGAGTTTGTTTTATAATTTAACACAACTCATTTCTACATGCCTGGAGTCCATTCAGGGATCAAAAAAAAAATTTCTGCATTCGCTTTATTGAAAGTACTACTTGTTCAATAGCATAGACAGTGCGGTGTCTAAAACATCATATTGATTTTGAATACTAGCTAGCTGATTAACCAAGTATCTAATGTATGTTTGATGCCATTCAATATTTTGATGGAAATAATCATGTTTCATCATCAATATTGCTTCTATAACTCTTAAAGGATCATTTGGAAGAACTTCGCATTTTAAAAACTTGTCAAACATTGATATTACGTAATAAGATTGATTACTCATCTCATGAAACATCTCTTAGCTTGTATTAGACTGTTTCATTTTTGGGATGATCAAATTTGAAAAAAAAAACAATATCCATACTATTTTGTGTAAGCTCGATATTTTGATGAAGGACTGACTGGTTTTTGAGAAAAAAAATTTTTTTATGATGAAACAAAAAACAGCGCTGTTTTCCTGACAATAGCCGTGCAATATGAAGCAATGAATATAAATTATTTGAATGTATAAATTCACTTTTTCTAGTGTGTATTGTTTTATTGTTCAGAGTAGAACAGCAAAATATGAGATAAGTTTAAAAGTAATATTAATAAAAACATATACAAATGATATTTATGTTACTAAACGGCGTAACATGTTTTTTGTATTATTTTTTTTGCATTCAACTGGTGGTAAATCTTTATATTTTGGAATAAAAAGTGTAGAAAATATTGGATATCCAGCTATGCCACTTGTTGTCGTTATTTCTGCTTTATTATAGAAATCTTGCCATTTTGATATTGAATCAGGTGTCCATTTAATATTCATAAGCCATTCGATGAATTTTTTTATGATCATTAGAACCATAAATCGCTATATTTTTCGTTCTAAAAATAGAAATTAACATATATAAACTTTATAATTCGAGAAAATCTATCAAAAAAACAAAATTAGAAAACTATAGATTTATACGTACGATCCATTATACACTGTTGACCACGACTTTTCACTTATTTCAGATCGACAACTATAAAGATTATTCACTTTTGGATAATATGAAAATGTATGCGCACACATTTCATTTTGTGTAGGCTCACCACCCTTTTAAATAGAGAATTCATACTAAAATAATCTTATGCTCAAGAAGAATTTTTCTTCTATTTACCAGTGTAATCAGATTTTTATTTAATGTAGAATAGACGCAACGTGTAGCAAATTCATCTCCCTAGTGAAACCAAAAATATAAAAAAAGCTTTTATAATTTTTTCTACATCTAACTAAAGAACTTCTACATCATACAGGATATAATTGAATTCTTGCTGGTAGTTTATGTTCAAATTGATAATTAAAATCGAAGGCTTCATTATTAAACAAATATTGAATAGCTGTATTGTTTCGAATCAATTTAGTCCATACCCTACGTCCTAAACACAATTATTTTCAAAAAGCTCAAACATAAACTAATAGCTTATTCTACCTTGAATATGTGTATGTGCATAAGCTGTAAGACCAGTAATACCACTTTTTGGATTTGGAAAGCTCTTAATAAAAACAAAATAATCAATATGATTTGCTCATGTAAAATACAAGTATAAATTATTCATAATTATACTTTTGTTACTTCTGCAGGACAATAAGAATCAACGTTAAAACGTTCATTGTATGGTGGAATGGTTAGACCTAATGCATTTGATGAACTTCCAAACATTAAATATCCCATGTCATATGAACGTAATGTTGGTGAAATATAGAATCGTATTCCAGAATTATCGCGACGACCTGAAAATAGTATAGAAAAGAATATTAATTAACCTATAATATTTTGTGTCTTTTAGAAACTTTTTCTGATTTTTATTATTAGCATACCTGAAACTAAACGTTCATTATTATAATGTATTTCTAATATATAGTATTTGGTTTCAGATTCCCCTACAACTGGATAGCCAGCTTCTTCTGGAAATTCTTCTATCTATAGATAAAGATCAGATATTCTACTAATAACATTCGAAAATAAATTTTTTTGACTTACTAAATCTCCACCGACCGCCCAAACTGTAATAGAAAATAATGATATTTTTGTTTTTTTTTCGTTTTAGATATTAATATTATTGTCACTCAAAAAATTCTATACTTACTTGCTGCAGTATTTGTTCTACATAATTCAGAACCATCATTAAGAGCATTGTCATAATCACATATATTGTCTGGTAAATTATTATCATCTGGAAATACTGTAAATCGATTACATTCATAAATTAATAAATGATGAACAATATCCATATTTTCTTTGGGAATCAATAACGGGTGCGAGTGCGGGTGTGGGTGTGGGGTGTGGGTGTGCGGGTGTGGGTGGGGATGTGGGTGTGGATGTTGGAGAATAGAAGATCCACACCCACACCCACACCCACACCCACACCCACACCCACACCTACACCCACACCCACACCTACACCCCCACACCACATCCACACCCCCACACCACACCAACACCACACCGACACTCACCCACACCCTGTTAACGACATCTGTTTTCGTTGAATTTCTTTGTTCTCATTAATTTTATTTATCTGGTCTGTAATAGTATCAGTTGTTTCAAAGCCATTTTCCAGATACACATTAAGGTAAAATAAGCAAAAGAGGCGAAATAATTCACTTAACACAAAATTGATAACAGACTAAAACTAGAACTGCTGTATTTTACGAAGTCCTATTTGGAAATAACAACAACTTATGGTCGACAGATTCTTGTTCTATCTGTAATGGTTTTGATGCCATTATTTTGTACAAGCTTAACTATGTATGGCTTCGTACGCAGTGTCACGTTTCGTCGACAGAAATGTGCCCGGTGCTTTTGCTATATGAAAGAAAATGGCATGATTGACATATATTATCAATTGTAGAAGTCATAGTGATATTACTTACTAAAGACACATTTCCTGTCACTTGAATGATTTCATTGGCTCGAAACCTATAAATATAATATAAATAACAATGAGATCTATGCAATAGACAAACCAGCGATAAGAAGGGAAACGATTTGAAGAGATTTTGCGCTTTCCGAAAGTCTCGCGCTTTTTCGTAGCTGAATGAAGGATCATTGGTTGGTTTTTCACGTTCCTATCACGATATCCAACAGGCTGGTACTTAGTAATTGATCTATATAGTACTTGGCGAACTTCTATATTCGATTTTCACGGTATCCGAAGAATACAATCACTTGGAACAGAACACTTCGTAATCGTTTGATTGTGCTTCGTTTTTTTTTAAACTTTGAAAAAGACATTCAGTCTACTACTCACCACTTTTCTTTTTGCATCTTGCAATAATGTTTAAACATCTTTTTCAAATTCTGGACTTCTTGGCGTATAGCTCCACGAACAAATGGCCTGGGTCCAAATGCTCTATCGAGTAACGATTGCTGAGGCTGACTGAGAAAATCATCAATATCACCACGACATCTGTTGGATTCATAGTATTTGACACATTTGTCACCCATGTGAACTCTTTTATTACGTTCTTTCTTGTCGAGCAATAGTCGAATGAGATCTCGTGTTTGACCACCCAAGTACCGATGTGCCACATGTTGGAAGTAAGTGTAGACGCGCTCGAGCGCTGTACCGATGCTTTCGCCGGGTCTTAATTGGAGCTGACTGCGACACTGCGGCTCGTCCATATCTGTCAGAATATACTGATTCTGATCTTGTCGCTGTAACAATGTGCTCAAGATTTTTTTTGAATAGGCAGCTTGGGAAATGTTGTCTTCACAAAAATAACCATAGATGTTGTCCAAGGGAATATTGAGAAGATCAGCAAAAAAATGCTCCTTTTGTGCATCCATGGTTAAACTATTATGGATCGAGTGTGCTAATGTTGGATAAATGTGATTCAACGCAAGTAATAATATATCTTGATGTGCCTGTTGCTGTTGATGGCCGGTGAACAAACCTAACATGTAGTTTCGATAAAATACGGCGTTAGTTTTAGCTTGTTCTGAATCTGGCTCTCGTTCGCATAGATTCACTGCATAGAAGTAATGACATACTGATTGCTTGAAATCTTCGCGTTGTACGTTGTTATTTGGCCAAAAATGTGTGCTTAAAATAATTGAAAGCTGTTCGATCATCACTCTTCGCATATTCTCAACTGATTGCGAGCTTAATATCATCTAAAATAGAAAGAATTATATCGATGACAGCTTTTTCCAATCTTTTCATTTCAATTAGAAATCAATGCCTGAGTTTTATGTCTAAAATGCTGATGATCATTATTTTGCACCTATTTTTGAGAAACGGACGTCATCAGCAAAGAATTACATTGTACACTTATGAAAATGTTTGGGAAAGTCTGATTTGTATCATATGCCACGATACTGTGTGTTTTTCATTCAATCAATGGAAGATGCACCTCGTCTCAAAACATCATCTTATAAGTAATCAACCATTACAACAAATTCCCTTGACCAAGCGTGGACTTTACACTGAAAATAAAATTGGTACGATACCGAACCAAAAAGAGTATTGTAGACGGAAAAAAGTTTCGTACATAGTACGGAACCTACAAAGGTTTCGAATTCGTTGCAATTATGCGAACCATTTTAAGTTCGATACAGACCACTTCGAAAAACTTGATAAAGTATCCTGAGCCAATAACAATCAATTTCAGGCACCCAAAGTTTTGCACGAAGCCTTTTCAGGCTTTCGTACTCCCTTCTAAAATGGTTTGGTACACTGGAAAAAAATTGTATGAGTACCGAATCATTTTAGAAAGCTGTATAAAACCCTGAAAAGGTTTCGTGCAAAACTTCGGGTGCCTGAAATTGATTGTTATTGGCTCAGGATACTTTTTCAAGTTTTTCGAAGTGGTCTGTACCGAACTCAAAATGGTTCGGATAATTGCAACGAATTCGAAACCTTTGTAGGTTCCGTACTATGTACGAAACCTTTTTTCCGTCTGCAATACTCTTTTTGGTTCAGTATTGTACCAATTTTTTCTTCAGTGTACGTTTACTTTATTACGTAGTAACTTAACTTAAGTTGCTATGTTATTACTATCAGTTTTTTTATAGTGTTCTCCACCGTTTTTTGAATAATTCCCAATGGTTTCAAGCCACTGAGCTCAAGTTTTCGTCAGTGGAAAAAGAGGTGCCTGAAACATCGATCTATCTAATACGCATTATGTTCCAACAGTATTTCTGTAATTGCTTTTACAATAATATTTTTTTTTCGTTACCTGTTTTTATAAAATCTCATGACAATATCGATCCAAATTACACCAAAAATCACTATGTTTCTAGTAGAATTATCGCATCTTTGAATTGTTTTCTTGATTTGTATTCTTGAAACAATCGTTTCACAACTTGATGATTCTATATATAGGCAAAATCATTCGTTAGCGACGTGACTTTGCAAAATCGCAACGCGTATATCTTGGGATAATGAACTTTCCACGAGCTAATTTTTATATGTTATATGTATGTTAATTTACTCTAGATATCCTGAAAAATTCAGTCTTAGAGATCTTCGTTCAGAGGAGCTATCACTATAAAATTAGCGTTAGCGACGTGATACAGAAAAGGACATCAACTTCCAATTCATGCATTTTAGCTTAACCATTTCGCTGCCGGGTTATTTTTAGTGGAAAACTTGTTCGTATATAACAGAAAAGTAGTCCTTATTACAGTCTCTAAAAAGCTTGCGCATCTGGAAGTAAAAGGGCCTTTTTTATTGTTGAAAATCCTAGCAACCAAAGGGCTCCGCCCTTTATAATATAATTTGTATTAGAAGTATTTCAATATATGATAAGTCGCAAAACAGGGCGCTACGTATAAGCCAACATTGTATTTTCTGTACACAAAGCTCGTTTTTGTTTTCTGCTGCAAACCACGGATCGTGAGGATGTGACAGTATCGTACTACAACACTGGCAGAGGGAAAGAAAGGAGAGAAAATGCACAAGTATAAATCCTACAGGGCAAAAAGTTACTTTTTTCGAGATGTTTTTAGACAAACAGTGAGCGGGTTTTGGAAGTTTTGCATTAAAAGTGCGTCTTTGCTGCATAACTTGCATCACCTTCAGTCTGTCTCTCGTTGTAATAGACAGGGCTCGCTGGGTACTAATGTCAATTTGCACGTCGAGTACAATTTATATCCGTATCAAAGGAAAAATGTGCCGAGGATGGCATAGTGGTTCTATGTATCTGACTGTTAGTCTGACATCAGAAGGTTTGATTCCTTCCCTCGGCATGGTGCAAGGCCTTGGTTTTAAAATAAAGATTTACGGTAATGAAAGAATAGTCACAACGAAGCAAAAAGAAACAATACACGTGGACATGGTCATCGCTGCCTCGCCAGATTGTTTGTTTTCTGTTCTTTGTAATTCTGTTCTCTATATGTTATATGTAATCGTCATCTCATCTTTCGTAAGCGTCCTAAAAAATTGTACTAAAAAAAAACAAAAAAAGTTGGATGTCACGAATAAAATACTGCATAATCAAAAAAAAAGGAAAAATGTCACTGTCCCATGTGTGGGACACCCGCTACGAAAGGGTTAACAAGCGATATATTTAATTGAAATGCTCCCAATTATGACAATCAACCAAAATCGTAGTCAAGATCCACTAGCGTGCTATTGAACCGTATCGTAAAAAAAGAAAGAAGAAATATCCTGTCTTTCGACTGCGTCGCGGTATAGAGCCGTACTCAGAGGAAGCTTCAAAAGACTGGCTAACTTTCTACAACCAATACAATCTATAATTCTGGATCGAAACTCAGTCTGTCCCAGAGTTCGACCATCTAATCACATCAGCCTATTGTACTACCACTCTAACACGCTGCTCAATTTTTCATTTAGCGTGCAATTGAGTAGCACTAAAAAAACTTTACATATATTCATTCTGTGCGGCTCCATTATTTTGGACTCTACTCTTTGGTGTTGAAAAACTGGTCTTTGTACTACTGTAATGAAGAATGGGAGAAAAAACTCATATTTTACTATTTTGCGCCTTTTTAAAAATATGACTGACTATCAATCCGATGTATGAAGCGCTGTTTCATTTTTTACCGTCATCTAGAGATAGCGATACTCTCAATAATTAATTTTCTTTCAAGACTCTTAAGTGGGAGAAAAGAATATATTGCAGCATGTGGTGCGTGTCATTGAAGACGATTATTACATTTTTTTCTTCATAGTATAAAAGAATATATAGCAGCATTTGGTGCGTCACATTAAAAACGATTATTACATTTTTTTCTTAGTCGTATAAAGGATGGCATTAGCCAGTAT